TCGTGGCCTTGAGAGTGGTCCCATTTAGTCTAGCGCTTCCGCGCCTTCCAGTTCTGGACCCTTGAAGTAGCCCTTGCGCCGTGTGCTATACAGTGAGAGAAATAAACGCGCACTGAGTCTTCAACTTATGATCGTCTTTAGGTAAACAATATTGAGGAATGTGTTGACGACCTTAGCCAAGTGGCGCTGAGGAAATCTTGAATGTTTACTCCAGGGAAGCCAGAAAGTGCAGATTTTGGCTGGTCTGTGTGAGATCCATGCAAACGGGCGTCCTGCCCTGGCCAGTAAGTTTCTCGGATTCAGAAAGTGTCGGGAAGTCTGTCAAGGCCGCCGCACGATGTCACTATATCCCGCCTACCCGCCATCAGGATCTTTACCTAACACAACGTCATTGTCCGCAGCTCCCGGTCTGCGGCTGCTATGTCCTCCATCCAGGTGACCAGAGCTGTGACGGCAAGGTGACAAAAATGACGAGATTGGCATGACGGTTGACATAGATGGCGGGATACGTGATGGTGGCTGACATAGACGGCAGAGTGGTTACGGTAATGCAGACAGACCTTTGAGCGCTCGGAACTTTCCGACCACAGACTTGTCTCCAGATCCTCCAGACTTTGGCAGAGTCTGCGCAGACTTGATACAGATTGGACATTTCCTACATGTCCTCAGTGAAGTCGCGTGTGATTAACGAAAGTGCAGTGTTCCTTAGACCTGAAATAAAGCGAACGCATCTCTTCAAAATTTAGCAGCCTGGCGTCCAGCATGAACATGGAACGCGGTGCCCCGATTAGTGTCCCAGACTAAGTTTTCAACTTACAAGTCTACCATCTCTGCTCGTCCAACTTCGCACAGGATATATTCCCCTGAACAAATACCTTCACAGAATATCGAGATCACCCTCCTCCACATGTCCGGCCTGCGAAGAACGAGAGGAATCAGTACATCATTTCGTACTATCATGCCCGGTATACTCAAGATACAGAGCATCCTTGAAGGTCGAGCTGGGAACGCGAGCACAAAACCTAAAAGGCCTCCTGAACGACGGAAAAAACGTTAATTCGGTTCTCAAGTACATCGCTCGCACGAAACGCCTGGAAAACACCTTCGGTGCCCCCCAAAGTAGAAGCGAACCCAACAGATGCGCTAAGTGCTTAGCCATCTACTTCCCCCAATCGCTTTAAGACGGCATTGATCGTCCTCGCGAAAGCCTGGATCAGGCTTACAGGACTCCCATGCCAAAAATGAACAGAGTACCATAGATGTCTGTCATAGGGCTTCGCCCCCACGGGCAATAAATAAGGACTCAAAAAAAAGTCTACCGTGAGTGTGGCGCAGCGCTTCCCCCCTTGTCTTGTACGCGCCACTAGACACGAGCAGGTTTAAGTCTCTGCTAAAGAGAGAAAATGCATGGTGCAGACGAGGAAATAAACCAGCGCCGGAAGAAGGGTTCATATCGAGTTGGAAAAAAAGACTGGTGCACAGGTCACGTTTAACTGAGTTATCCCAGGAGTTTATGTACCTATGCCAGTATGTGCGTCAATATCTCATTGAAGGAGCCGTCCCTGCTTGCCTCATTCCCTTCGTCTTCCAGTCGTCTCTGTTTGGTTCGAAGAGTCTGGCTGGTAGTTGGTATATCGGGAAGTGAGTAATTTCTATCCACTATTTGTTTGCACTTATGTAAGCTTCTTTTCAAAGGGTACGGCTGGTGTAGTTCAATCGAGCTGGTGAGTCGAACACCTCGAGTTTGCAGAGGGGCACTTGGAACCAATGATCTCGCAGCGAAAAGGAAGACTGTTTGCAGGGATGGTGTTAAAGGAGTCTGTGACTGGCGGTGTGAGCGAGACTAACACTCGTTCGCAGATTCTAAGTCTTATGCGCCAGTTAATTCTGGTACAGCATAAAGAAGGTCGTCATACTACATAGGAACTTTTGACTGAACTAGAGTTCGGCAAATATCCGTCTGAGTTTGAAATCATGAGCTGGCCGCCCATTAATTTCATCCCTGATCAATACAAGGTCGCATTACCTCGGGCCCGAATATTCGTTCAATATTATAGGTAAGTATCAAGTAATAAATGATAGTAATCATGTCAACGCAGTGATGCCCATCGCTAATCATTATGTTTGTTATGTTGCGACAGAGCCCGAATTCCACTATGTGTGACAGACTTGTCACTCGAACGTGTTGACTTTGAACACACAAGAACGCGACATGCACGGGATGACCAAGCACGGGTTCCCAACCTACGCCCATATAGTGTCATTGACACCTCATTAATCATTACTTACCTGCATCGCAATCCATTCGGGGTCATCTAAAATGCAAGCCTGGATTGTTGAGTTACCGAAACGACTGATATTTGTAGTCATCATGACACCTTCTATCGGTATATCCAGGTCCCCGTGATGGTACCAGTGCGATTCGCAAATTCGCCTTAACAGCGGCGGAATGCGCAGCCATTCACACTAGTCACCGTGACTAGTAGTGGGCGCCCTCTCTGGACTATATAACACAGCGCGGCGACAGAAAATCCTTCATCAATACCATCATCTCCACTATCATGGCACTCGTTCTCCCCACCTTGACCGCCTTCACTACTTCCCGTCTCACAGCCATTCTGACGGCCAAGACTCAAGCAGATTTCACCGCAGCGTTTGATGCGCTTTTCGCCCGTAATCTCAATGTTGTTTACAATGGAAAGCAACTTTCGAGGGAACAGTACCAGGCGCAGTTGCTCGGTCAGAGCAGTGCTGCTGTTGAAGAGCAAGGTGCAAGCGTCAGTGTTCAAGGTCAACTAGAAGTCCCCGGCAACGAGGGCCAAATCGTAAGCAAAATATATATATTTCGTGCTCTGCCATCTTATAAAAAAATTGCAGTCTGGTATTGTCGGTCTATTTTACAGTTCCCTTGTTGACTCGAGGTTCCTCGTCTTTGGAGCTCCCGCGGAGAGCAAAGTGACTTCTTCATTTAATGCAACGTAATATCTATTTGTCATCGTGATTGCTCAGCCATCTGATCATCTTACACTCCGCAGCATTCAGGCTACAGAGCCTCGACCTCCGTCTAACCCCCGTATTCGCGGATACTTTGACCCCCGTCGCATAGTGACGGTGAACCAGATTGCCACCGATCAAGCTCTGCATGTCACCATTCCTACCGCTTCCATCAACTCAACCTCACCTGGCGTCACTACTAAGAATTTCGCGCTTCCGCAGGGGCCATTTGGTGCACCCTTCGGTCCCGGACCAGTACGGTTGGGCCCCACAGAGACAAATGCTGTCCCAGAGACGTTCCCAGGGGACGGGGAGTTTGGTGCTCTTCCACCTTTGATCGCCGGGGAAACTATCGGTAAAGAGACTAATACCAAGGCATGAGTATCTCAAATCATATCTCATACTGTACGAATATCCATGACAAGGACATATGTTGACCTATGTATCGCTATTTGTACATTACAGTAACAGTCCGAATAATCTTTCTGAAGGCAAATGTGATGATATCATATGAACTTCGGAGCATACGGCATGATTCAGTGAATGGAATACGGGCCTACGGCTAAGAAGTTGAGTATCGATTCAATAAGGGCGACATTAATCGCGCGATGTTAACAGGCATGATTCAAGAATATTCCCCGCGGTCTGCCTTTACCTAACTGGATGTCAACTACAAGGACGCAGCATCAAGACTCAAACACTCACATCAGCCTCGCTCTCCGTTGGACAGGGCTCTCTCACAACTTCGATTGTCTCCTCATAGACGACGTGCCGCTTAATGGTACGCCCATTTGGATCTATGTCAGTGCCCTCCTGATCTGTTCCAAGATCACCAGCACCGACAACGCCCTCAAACTCACCCACTCTGGCGGTACCAAGGGGACCAGTTACTTCATCTTTCAGGTAGGATGCCTCTCTGTGATCCATTCGCTCGTCTGCTTGGTGCTTTGCATTAACAAAATCAATCGTCTTGCGCTGAAGATCATTAAATGTGACGGAAGAGCGATCAGCCTACGAGATAATGTCAATTTCATGTTTCTCGATGTACATTGTACCAAGCACCTTTACGTGTGCTTCAGATTCAGACGCGAGATCTTCGTTCCATCCTGGTGCGTCATCAGCGGAAGTTTCAAACTGGGTACCAGACAAGTTTCTTCGTTTCTCTCGCTCCAGCGTCTGCAATAAAGGAATTTCGTTCTGCTTCAGGGGCAGATAGTAGGAGCGGACGTACCTCTGGATCATTGTCATGCATCGTACTTTGGTGATAAAGTCACGATGAGAATAGTAAGAAGCAGTATTGAATTTGCAACCAATACCTAGTGTACCGTCTTCCATCACCATACCGTCGGCTTGACAAGGTGTCTGCTTTGTTAGCACACCTCGCACTTGCATATCGCGACGGAGCTCCGAGTGTTCTCTTTACAGAACTGCGTACTGCAGTAAGATAGCTCATTGAATGTGGTTTGCTTGGCGGAGAGGGTGAAAGTCGTACACTGAGACATTGTTGCGCCCCTAACGTCATCTGAGCCAAGACGTTTATGACGTCATAAGTGTGGAAACACCCGTTTTGGCATCAATGTGTGCACGCCAACTCCGGTCAGCAACTACCATGATGTCCAAGAAACCAGTTAACGGACTTATGGCGCCTGAAAGCAAGAGCATTGTTTGAGTGAGTGGACACGACACATACAAAAGACCGATATTTACTAATGAGCCGCACAGTAAGCGCCACTAGTGAAAATTTCCTTTATAAACTCGGATCAGATGATACAGGCCATGTCGGGGAGCATCTGCGAGTAACCTTAAATTTGGTCCATGTAATGCAACGTGTTCCAACAAGGACTAAGGAAATAACCCCGCCTTCATGTCGCCATATCCGGTGCAAGACTAGACTTTATCTAGATTCCTTCACCATCTTCAAAACGAACGTCCTGTGAGTGGCAGCACTATGCTATGTCAAATCCCGTTTAGACGAATGAGGGTTCCCGCAGTCTAGTTTACTGCAGTGAGTAATATCTCTGGTGGTACTCGAAGACACATATTTGTTAAGTCCTTCGTTCAGTAATACTCTGGTGCGTTTGTGATGATAATACAAATACTTTGTTACTTCTATCCGGATCTCACCCTATCTCCCCGCCACCAGTACCGCTCGATATCTGATCTCTCCTCTGTCGAGTTTAGCCATAGCTTCTTCAATTCCCTCGACCGTCAGTGGGAACTCTTGAGTGATGGGTTTGATGCCGTGGATAGCCGCAAATCTTAGCATCTTGACTTGGACACCACGCGATGCACAAAAGATTCCCTGTATTGTCAACCCCTTTGAAATGATAGGTGTATAGGGGATGACCAAATCCCCATGAGATACGGTGATAGGATAAATAGTAGCGTTGGGCGCCAGAACCGAGAGGAAGCTATTAATCACATGAGTCAATCCAAAAACACACCTCGAGATAAGACTCACAGATTCCAATCAGGGAGATGCGAAGTTGTAACGAATAGGTGCTTAATTGGCTTCCCGGTTTCATGTTTGTTCGCATTTCTCGTATAAAACTCCTTTGCACCCAAACTCCTCGCCTCTTCCCTCTTATGATCGCTTCCAGAGAAAACTACAACCTCGCACCCCATTTTCGCTGCAAATTGGATGGCAATGTGACCAAGACCACCGACACCTATAATTCCCACTCGGTCTGCAGGTCGGACGTTATACGAATACATCGCGTTGAATATCGTTGCTCCGGCACACATCAATGGCGCCGCGTCAGAGGAACTGATAGCATCGGGAATATGGAAGAGGAAAGCTGCCTTCCACACCGCATGGGAAGCGAATGCACCTTGGTCAGTGTTGGAGTGTGCATAAGTGGCCCTCTCAGGGCAAAAAAACTCGTTCGCGTTGAGGCATTCATCACAGTGCCCACACGTATTGTGGAGGAATCCCCAGCCAGCACGATCGCCACTGTTAAAACGCAACACAATCAGCTACGCAACGGCGCAAACAACAAACGGGTGTACACTTTGAATGCGGTGACTTGCGATCCGACCTGCTGCACCACGCCGACGCCTTCATGGCCGAGGACCATGTCCTCTGTCTTGTAATGTTGGTCTGTACCGCACAGGCCAGCATGAGTGATTTTGAGTAGTACCTCATCTGGTTTGAGGCTTTCTTTGTGAGTCTTTGACTCAACTATCTTTCCGGTGGGGGAACCTTTGAAGACGGTGAAGTCAATTCCGGTCATTTTAGTCGCTGTCCGTAGGGAGAAATGGATGCCAAGCACTATGCAAATACATAATTGAAGGCCAGACCTTTTATATCAATGGGAAGCTCCCTCAACATGGGGTGGGAGCTCAAAGAAGCATTGGGATTTGTTATCCGGACCCTGTGCACGTAGCCATCGTAATAACATGGATCATCAAAGACATGCTAAACACAAGGAGATGTATACGAGAGAAATCAAAGTTCATAAACGTTCATGTGCCTTATGAAGCTGGCTTGTCATGGCACCTGATCTGATTGCTAAAAGCGTCACCAGCTATGCACCTCGTTATCGACAGACTGTGGCAGTATAATACCTGGCGCTTCTGTGAAGCTGGGCAAGGGACCAAGGGTACCACTTTTGACGTGTCAGGCGTGACGTGTTCGATAGAAGGACTCAGCGCTTAGCGCTTGTCTGCCACATGATGTTTCTTTACTTCGGTGCGGCGCGATACGAACAGTGTTAATACGGCTTAGGCGTTTCCATATCTCCCCGGTCCGTCGATACAGCGCTTGTTCGAGGAGTGTCTGAACGTTCTCAGACACGCTTGCCGAATGTCTGACCCGAGATTTTGGTGACACAGATCTCGCAACACGCCGAATCACTATGAAGAGTTCAATTGAGGTATGTGAGTTCGCACGACTTGTGTTGCAAAAATAAGGGTCTGTCGATATAAAGGCGCCAAGGTACATTACTTTAGCCATGAATATCTTAGGATGTACATAAGAATCCTAGGAAATTGATCATACTTCAACCGAACCAATGCCAACGCCGCAAAAGCCCACTCCCCTCAAGTTCCAGCGGCATCCGGTGTCCTGTGCGCCTCCAGACTGATCGAATGCTCGGCTTATCACCGTGACCTTGGTCTTCGAGCGTCCGTTCCTTTGTCCTTGGTTAGCCAGCTCAAGAGCATCAACATCGATGTCTACTACGAGTTCGCCTTCCCACAGTGACCAACTCCAGTTACCCTCTTGGTATGTGATTTGTACTTCGTGCCATGTCTCACCGCCATCCGCACTGATTTCCACACGCGAGATAGGGGAGTTGGAGTAGGCGTAACCTGTGACTTTAAGAGTCTTCTGGTCAGGACAGGCAAATGTCAGACACTGGACGCGGGCGACGACCGAGTTGCAGTTAAGCCGTTGCATTGCAGGTATACGGCTCCACCAATCCTCCTTAACGGCCTTCTCTGCAGAGGAAACCTATTTGCAGCAAAGATGTTGGACGTAAGCACACAATGAGATATGGATGACATACACATTCAGGCAGTATCTTGTAATCACGCTGCTGATAGAAGTTGGGCGATTCATTCCTTGAAATAGTGATCCGGTCTACCCATTTAACCCATCGCATGCCAAAGTACCCAGGCACAACGACGCGCAAAGGGAATCCATGATCAGGCGTGAGGGGCGCATCATTCATCTAACGGGAAACGTGAATATACGCGCACTTCTGAAATCAATAATCTGACCTCGTAGGCAAGCATGGCGGCACCGTCCTCGGCCATGACCTCCTCAAGCGGAATAGACCCTCCATAACACTTGTCATCCTCGCACGGGGCAACATTCGAAGCGAAGCAGACGTGGAAACCTTTTTGAGCGTCTTCCTGCTCAGGGATTCCTGCACTGATCAATATGTCACGCAGGAGTACACCGCCCCAGCGCGCATTCGCAATGGTACCCTCGGACCACTTGATACCTCGGACCTCTTTCCCGGTGTTTTCTTGCATCTTGGCACGACGGTTACCAGCGCACTAGATAGGGTGGTGAGTGTGTTTATTTTTGAAATGCTAGGGATGACCTACGACGAGAGCAGCTACAACCACCTTTCTTGGAAAGGAAGCGATCATGTCCTTGACGTTCAATACCTTTTCTTCCATCCCCTCCATTTCGCCGTCTACCTTGACCGTATAACTGTCAAATTCGGATGCCAGATCCTTTATCGCAGCTGCGGATGGCACAAATGCCATTTCATCAGCAGTGTCCGCGGTCAAGCGATCAAGCATTCGAGAATGAAAATGGGACGGGATGGAACGACATCAGATTTGATCGCAGATGACAGGATTGAGAACGGAGTTAGGCGCATTATGAGAAACAGAAGAGGCTTAGCATAGTTTAGAAGAAACATACAATGGTTACGTGCATATGCCAGGTGCAGCGGTGTAATAGTGTGCTTTGTGAGCTCTACGAGGCATGGTGGTTCGGCATTAAGAGGTGTCTGGCCAAGCACCCGCAAATCAGTCTTGCCCATATTGGTATTGTCTGATAGGATATCGACAAAGGAATGCTAGAGACAACAAAGCATGTATCAGTGCAATTCAACACAACAAGCTGGCCAGTAGACAGTCACCGAGGTAAGAGGTATATGCTCACTGAAGGAGAAATCAAACAGTAAAGCTTGGAGAAGTGGAAGAAAGTGGGCTGATTTTATAGAGAAAGCGTGTATACGCGAACTCAGATGCGCACATGGATGAAGCTCGGGCCCTAGACCCCTAGCTAAGACTTGAGTACAATATTTATCCGTAGATTGGATCAATCTACAGATTAATATCAATATCGTCACATCTGTAACAAATATAAACATGGCGTAATGCTAATAAAAGTTTGCAAGTTCCGAGAGCATCACCTGCAGCATGTTCGGGGAGAACTTTAACACAGCGAATCGCTTCGAAGTTCAAATTACATGAGGATGTTTACTAAATGTCAGTGTCTGCTTCCCGTCTTTACTTCTAGACATAACTAGTCTACTCTTCTGCTTCACCTGCTACGATAACATCGTCTGTAGGAACAATTAGCGTTTGATCGGCAAGAGACATCATCGACTTGCCTATCTTCAGGACTGCTCGAACCAACTGCAATTGGGAAAACGCATTGAGACATCGTGCATCAAAGTGGCAATAAAAGGTTCGTACCTGGGTGGCAAGTAGATATTGTTGTCGCTTTGAAATCAGAGGGTCATAAACGAACTGCTTCTTCATGTCTAGAATTCCAAACTTGATTCAAGCGTTTCAAGTATGCAACGTGGTATCACGCACCATTCTCTCCCCTTCCAGAACAGTCGATTCCAAGTCTGGAATTCTTCTCTGTGACTTGTCGGCTCTTGACTTCTGTCAATGTCTCTATTGGCGAGAGACCACTGTTCTCAGCAAGTGCAAGGGGGATCGCGTCGAGAGCAGCTGCAAAAGAACGCATTGCATATTGCTCAATGGATGGAATCTCATCGGCAGCTTTCGAGACGGCGATAGAACAACTGATATCAGCAGCACCACCCCCGTAGACCACGCGGTTGTCTACGACAAGATTGCGGACCGCGCAGATAGCATCGTGTAGGGCACGTTTTGCCTCATCGACGATCTATGTGCCTTAACGTCAGATTATGTGCAGTGAGGGTGAATAGAAGGCAGACCATTTTATTGCTTCCGCGCACAAAGATTGTGACCGCACGGGAGTTGGCACACTCTTCAATAACAAGCATTTTATCGCGGGTCGTACCGAACGTGACCTCCCGCACGATACCTGCCTTCCCAAGTTTTTGCGCTGTAAGATCCTCGAATCGGGGAACGATTCGACCTTGTGTAGCTATGGCAATCAGCTAAGAAAAGAACATCAGTAATGCTTTCACGGTAGGGAGAACTTGTGAAATTCACCTCAATTTCTGGCCCACCAACCCATCGAACTGCAGGCAGCTTGTTCTGCATCAACAAATGATTTGCTTCATCATCAAAACCCCACTGGCAAATGACCAAGTTTGCTCCAGTGTCCTTCACCATCTTGATCATGTCCTCGAACTTCTCCTTTTCATAATCACGGAGGTGCTTAAACTCCTCTACAGACGTGATTTCGAGCTTATGCTTAGTCTTGGGTCGTGGAGGCTCAAAGGGACAGGTGAGAATTGCAAGGCGAGCATCGCGCACGAAAGAGGGCATTTGTGGGTGGGACATATCCTTGTCGATGAGAACGCCCTTGATCAACGTCGTGTCAGCAAGGGAGCCACCAACTTTGCCATCAACCTTGATGAGGTCAAAGGGAACATCACGGCGCTCAAGGTCTGCAACTGTTAGAACAGCATCGACCGCGATCTGAGCGAACTGCTGCAACTCCTTCGACACGCTGGGCCAAATTTAAGTATATTCAAGGAAAGAAAGAAAGGACTGGCGCACATTTTGCTGCCTAGACTGGTCATCGCGGTCTTCAAAAGATTTTCTTTGTTTTCAGGTGAGAACTCGACGCGATCTGAGATGGTGTCGAGTTTCTCGCAGGCAACAGCACAGGCCCGGTCAAAACCATCTGCTATACGGATGGGATGAATACCACGGTCCAGCAGATCCTCGCTCTTCTCCAAAAGTGCACCAGCCAGTACTTCAGATGTATTTCAATAAAAGGAAAGAGATGGGTAGTTGAGATCGTACCAACAACACCAGTGGTCCCGTCTCCGATCTCATCGTCCTGGCTTTTGGACAGCTGCACAAGGAGCTTTGCAACTTGATGCTCGACCTCCATCTGTCCCAAAATAGTTGCACCATCATTCGTCACAGTAATCTCGCCGTCGGGTGATATGAGGATTTTATCCAACCCTGCATGATTGATCAATCAAGCTCCTGTGGTGCAGCGGCTAAACAGAGCTCACCTCGAGGCCCCAGAGAAGTCCGGATTATGTTTGCCACTGTCCGTGCCGCAAGAATGTGTGACTTGAATATATTTCGTGAACTCAGGACTGTTGATCAAGAAGAAAATCGCCCACTTTGATCGCCTCTACACCATGAGTTCTTGTTTTTCTTCCCTGGTCCCTGAGGATGATGAACGGTCGGCCATACTGGAATAATTGAGCACTAAGTATGGGATGATTTGGCTTATGCGAATCACCTCGTCAGTTGCATATACAGCTTCTTGTTGAGCCATGATTTTGTTGCTGAACGCGTCGCGTTTTGGAAGCTAAACGTGACACGATTATTGCGTGACAATAACCCTGATAGTGAGTGCGTGATACCGTGACCTGGAGTTTAGAGGAAGTTACTAAGAACGCCCTTCGTACTCTTCTTCTGTCATAAAACTTCTAGCACAACCCAAACCTATCATGGAGCACGAGATCGATGCCTGGATCGAACAACTCAGTCAGTGTAAACAACTAACAGAAGCAGACGTAAAGAAATTATGCGACAAGGTTCGTTGACTCCGATAAAGACGCCACCTGCACTCGATCTGACTGCAGCCATAACAGACGAGAGAGATCCTTATGGAGGAGTCAAACGTACAGCCAGTACGATGCCCAGTAACTGTATGCGGGGATATCCATGGTCAATTTGTGCGTTCCTGTTTATTCTTGTAATCTGGACCGCTGATCTTGTCTTGTGCGCGTATCGTGCTCCTCATACTTGGTTTACTCGACGCGCAGCATGATCTTTCTGAGCTATTTCGTATTGGCGGAAACTCACCAGATACCAACTACCTCTTCATGGGCGATTACGTGGATCGAGGGTACTACTCTGTCGAAACAGTAACTTTGCTTGTGGCACTCAAGTTACGGTATCGCGACCGCGTTACAATTCTACGGGGAAATCACGAGTCCCGACAAATCACGCAGGTGTACGGCTTCTATGACGAGTGCTTGCGGAAATATGGAAACGCTAATGTGTGGCGGTTCTTCACCGATTTGTTTGACTACCTTCCCCTTACTGCCCTCATCGATAACCAAGTGAGTCTCTTATTCCCATACAAACACGCTGCGCAAATCACCTTACTTCCATTCCCAATGGCTAATCTTCTGACTTTAAGATATTCTGCCTGCATGGCGGTCTCTCACCTTCTATCGACACATTAGATCACGTCCGCTCAATCGACCGTGTGCAAGAAGTTCCTCACGAAGGTCCCATGTGTGACCTTCTGTGGTCTGACCCAGACGACCGGTGTGGTTGGGGCATTTCACCCCGCGGGGCGGGGTACACCTTTGGGCAGGATATATCCGAGGCTTTCAACCATAATAATGGATTGACCCTTGTCGCCCGAGCACATCAGCTCGTCATGGAGGGTATGCATACATTCAATACGACGCTAGCTTGTGTGCTCACGCGTGGTTGATGCTCAGGTTATAGTTGGGGTCAAGATCGGAATGTCGTGACAATCTTTAGCGCACCGAATTACTGTTACAGATGCGGTAACCAGGCGGCGATCATGGAGATAGATGAAAAATTATCATACAGCTTGTAAGTGTTTTACCTACTTGGTTTGTCTACTATTCATTTCGAATGGTATCCGCAGCCTACAATTTGACCCAGCCCCCCGAGCGGGAGAGCCGCTGGTTTCACGGCGTGTTCCGGATTATTTCCTGGTACGTCATTGACTCTCATAAATGCGGAATGTCGTATGTCTAACCTTCCCCACTAGTGATGTTTGCTGCCTGTCGATATTGTACATAGTGCCTGCGTCGTGTATTCTACCTTGGGACTGCGTTGGCCTCAACAACGAACATTATATACCACGTTACACGACAGAGTAATCAGTACTCATCCTTCTGATTCCTTCAACGTCATTAATTTGACGTTCTTCAAGATTATTTTCCACAAGATGCTCATTGCTCGCTATGTTGCCTCACATATGGACTGTGTATTGTAAGAGGACAAAAAAATAGAGAATTCTGATCGAGTCGAGTACGTGTGGCGTTAGCCCAACGTTAGCCAGTAGCCAGAGCGCAATGCGGCATACCTATTACCGGAGTCCGACATCTGACATCCAGGTCGAGTTTCTCTTGAAACCATCATCAACTGTGCTCATGGTACTCGAGTAGCTCACTCTAAAAAATCGTTGCCGAGTATTCTGTACCAGAAATCATGACTGGCCGCCATCTTCATCAGGATACTACCCCGTCGTTCTGTTTGAAACAGCATGGAGCACTCTGGCAGAACTCGCTGGGCCGATGAACATCAAGACTTGAAGATGGAACATGTATTGGTCTTACTTACGCCGCCAGCCACAGACTCTTTCAATGCCCTCCTTAAAAAATTTCCTTTTCCCTATGGGATCGGTTCCAGTGCCCCTCCGCCAACTTCAAGTTATTCAACTTGGCAGCTCGCTTGGACTACACCTGCTGCACCCAAACGAGGCTTGCAAATAGATAGCTGATGAAAGTTACTTACTTCTAGATACATCAAATAGTCACGAGGCTCTTCGGACCAAATGGAAATCGCTGGAAGACGAAGGGAACGAGGTGAGCAGAGACGGCTGCTAGTTGATGAGATATTTGACACATACACACACAAGAGCACTAGCAAACTCCTGGCACCTTAATTTCTCTGCACTTCATAGCACACAGCCCAAAGGGCTACTTCAAGGGTACGGAAGTGGAAAGCACAGAAGTGCCGGATGGATCGCTCTATCTCAAGGCCGCGAGATCGCCCAAGTATATCATAATGAACAAGAGTATGAAACCGGATTTGACGGTCTTCTTTCTGTGGAACATAGCGCGAGCGCCGGACTCCATTGTACTCTGGATCTAAGAATATAAATTTAGATTCTTAGAAGAACTTCTTAGGAACTCGGAGTGAGCATCGGCGCCGATGGTTGATTGCGGCTAAGATGTGTGTAGTAGATAGCGGAGTTCCTTTCACCATAGAAAAACATGAAGTACTTGACGCGCTGCAATCGATCTTGAATTGACAGAGCACTAGAGTATAGAATCTACTGTAGATGGAACTTGACTGAAATCGATTTTCGGACTGGGAATATCAAATAAGTCAGGGTCACGTGTGCGTGTTGATGGGAACGCGTCCTTGGACTCGAAATTCTGAATTGTACGGTTTACAAATTACAACGGCCACATCAATCCATATCTGACACATCAGATTGATCGATGGTTCACTACATTTTGCGCCACATTGGTTGACCACATATAAGGCAAGCAGCACTTTTTTGTGGCTCTTAGTTTTATTCCCCTCACCAGTTTTACAACGCTCAGTCAGCGTAATCGTTGAACGTCTAGTGTCATGTCCCCCGCCGGCGAGATTGAGTCTACTCCTCCACGCGCAAATGCATCAGCTCCAGGTGCTAGCAAAATAGAATCCACCCCAAACAGCCGTGGGGCTTCTGTCGTCAGCGAGAACATCGGGGTGCTCGGTGTCAAGTGCGCACATTTCCTGTCTTTATTAGTAGAGCCTGACATTCCATCAAGGGTCGACAAGGTCCGCCCATGGATTCAGCGGGATATCGAGCAGGTTAAGGAGTGCAAGGCAGATGCTATGCTGCAAGCCCTCCTTCAGCGCGCTTCTTCTGCTCCCAAGACTAAACAGCCCGAGCTTCTGCAAAAGTGTCTCAAGGCGGTTCTGCCTGTTTGCAATGGACAGGCTTCTACTGCTCTCGTAAAGTCTTCTGACATCCAGACAGCCCTCAATGAATAGTGAGTGCTCGCTCTTAAGTTCGCCGATCAGACGTTCTGATGCTCAAAATAATTGCAAGCGTATGTCCAGGAGTGGAGAGCAACTTCTACGGCCCTTTTATAAGAGCCACTAACATCGCCCTCGCTTGTCTTGAAGAGATCAAGATTGATGGGATGCGTGCTCCTGTCCCTACCGTGGACATGATCTGCCAGCAGAACGACATGCCCATGCACCAGATGCACCAGTCCAAGAAATCAACTCGGAAGCCAGACCTCGTGATTCTTCCTTTGAGTAGCGCATGCGCTCCCTTCCAGGATGAGACGGGCGGCAAGAAGGGCACACAGAAGAACGACGGGAAGGACGACGAGCAGCGCAAGAAGAAGCGCAAAGCTCATATGGACACGAATGCAACAGCTAAGCCGAAAAATCTCCCCTGGAAAGATGTTCTAGCTTGCATCGAGTTCAAGAGAAAGATAACAGGGAGGACGAAAGGGATTAAGGCACCCCCCTCTTCGTATCCATTGACAGACTATGCCCCTTCCAAGCCAGAATATCTGCCGGTCGATCATCTTAGGGCTGCAGACCCAGACCCAGCCCCTTCACAGACCCCAACAACACAAACTGCATCCGACACTGCATGTAAGTGATGATATTTGCGATTTTAGGATCAAACTAAATTGGCCAAGCCGCAGCTCAATCTTCTGGCCTTACTGCTGCCCAACCTTCCCGGGGCGGTTCCAGCTCCAAACGCAAGGCCACAGACACTTTGGAATCTGCTGCGAAAAAATCCAAGGGGAACCACGACGACAAAGACGCTGACGCGGACGCGGATCTAGATGTGACCGTTCAGACGGGTCTGTACGCCGCCGAAATGTTTGCGGCGAATCTTGCAGTCAACTATCTGCTGAATATTATTGTCGTCGGTGAGTTCGTTCATCTGTTGAGATTGGCTGCGTTCTTATTAAGGCTTTTTCAGATGATGTCGCGTGGATCTGGTATTATGATCGACAAGGGATCATTCAATGCTCAGGCATCAACTTCATTCAAGATCTCCCGCGGTTCATGGTGCTGTTGTATGCTTTACAACGCTTCGAGCTTCACGATTGGGGCCGAAACAAAGACTTCCTCCCAATTGAAGTTGAGGGGAAACTATGCCACGAGTTCAACATCAAGGATGAAAAACTTGGAGAGGTGGATTTGCTGCTTCACACCAGTCACGACGAAAGAGTGACGCACTATGGACTGCAAGGACGGGCGACCAATGTGGTCCCTGTCACTAGCGAAGCGCTCACGAAGAAATACGGCAAGTTCGAGGATGGGATGGTGGCTAAGATCTTTTGGGGAGAAGCGAGTCGCACTAGCGAGCCGGAGATCCTGAAAAAGGTTGATGAGATCGCTAAGAGGCACGTAACTGTCCAAGGCCACGTTCCTGAGCTGCTTTGGCACCACACGTTTACGAATCCCACGTCCGCAATTCGAGAAGCGCTTGACGTTTCGGAACCCACTAAGGGCAGTCGCGTGCTCTACATTCTTGTGTTCCGCAAGCTCTTCCCCATCACTCAGCTTCACGGCAAAGAGTTTTTTGACGTCTGGCGTCAGTGTATTTCATGTACGTGTTTCATTGGGTTTACATGTCTCTTTGTTGACATAACATGCAGGCCATCTTACTCTGTGGAAGGAAGGGGTATACCATCGAGATGTCAGTCCTGGCAACCTGATGTGGTACTGGAAAGACGGCAAGCGGATAGGCGTTTTGAACGACTATGATCTATCCTCGTTGGCGGATGACCCAGGTCCTAGGGGAAACGAGCGCACGGGCACGGTGCCATTCATGGCGCTCGATCTTCTCACCAAAGATGGTCAACAAGGCAAAGTCAAACACCTATATCGCCACGATCTAGAATCATTTATGTGGGTTTTCGCCTGGATTTGCTTGCGTTATAGGCAGGGAGTCCTTCTATCACGGAGATTGCGCCCTCTCGATGAGTGGGCGACTTTAGACGCTATTGCATGTCGCAAGGAGAAGTTAGACTTCCTCCACAGTCTGACCCCTTTTGCGCCCTCGGACATAGATAAACTCACATGGGGTGTCCTTGTGAACTGTATGTTGGTGCTTAAAAGGGATGCCGACAACCGATACTATCTTCGCTTTACATCGAGCTCAGGAGAAAGCCAGCAGCCCAACGCCGAAGACCCGGATCTCGATGCTTTTCTATCCAAATTTACCAGTCTAGGTCATTGGGTTGAGCTCAGCAAACCTGAGTAATTTTTATACCCTGCACACGGTGTTCCGCGCATCGATACTTGTAACTTTCAGTTATAGATTCACAATACAACTTAATGTTACTCCAGCGCTTGTCCCCACCTATCTATTTTCCCATCTGCGACCTTGACTTTGTTCCGGCCACACAGCATTTTTCGACAGAGATCTAAAGTTGCTCATGTCTAGCGTCGCGTGTCAAGGATAGAAACGGTACGCTATGTACTCACAGTGTACTTGGAAGTTGAATGGTCTAGGATATCACATGTAACATCATGGCGATGGACGGGTTGTCGTCGACATGTTAGTGCTAACTTTTGAAGAGATGCATCTACCTGACTTCAGCGCCGAGAAGCACTGCAGCTTTGTCGCTTTCCGATGCTCGGATCACACATACTGCGCAATAATTTGAAGGATGAGACTAGTAAGTGTTTATCGCCGAGGCTTTTGCAGCATATCTAGAGTTGCGTACAGGATAAGGATGGAAGCACCGCGGTATCCTCATAGCGGACTTGTAAGTTGAAAGCTTCGTCTAGGACATTAATGTTTGATCTACAAACGATCATGTATTGAAGGCTCTGCGCGCCTTTATTTGTCTGCACTTTTATAACACACAGCCCAAAGGTGCGGAGCCGGAAAGCGCAGAAGTACCGGATGGATCGCTCTTTCTCAAGGCCCCGAGATCGTATATCAGCGAGGGTATGAGACCCTGAGGCAAGAAGGGTTTCTTGCGAGGGAGTGTCGGAACAGTGGGAAATGCATTGATTGTTCGACATCACCCCAAGATACACGACGATGCCCATTAACAGTAATGTCATGCAGCACGGGGATCTAAAAGGGCTAACAATTATGTGTACCTATGGAAAACAAAAGAATACTGACAGATAACTGCAGGATTCAGGGTCTTCTTGCTGTGGAACATGGCATGGGAGTCGGACTCTAATTAAGAACATACATCCCAAAATCAAGATTTAGAGTGTTGATTCTCAATCAATTTTTGGAACTTCTTAGAATAATTCCTGCTGACGAAAAACACCGGCTCCAAGCGCAGTCCTGTGCCTGTACGAACTATGCCGTTGTCTAGTAGCATCCATAAGAAACGACAACGGACAACCTATACTAAATGATCTCCCAATAGATCCCACTTCGAAACAAACATAACGATGAACCTATTTGCCATTCCCTCTCCATCAAGTCTCTGGACAACCGTACGTTCGGGTGGCGCAATTAACGCTGCTTGTTCATTTGCTGCATTATGGGCCCTTGTCAAAGTGTTAAGGATGCTTCGCTGGCGAGTCAAGACGACTCAACTGCGGGGTCCGCCTCGTACCAGCCTCGTATATGGCGTCTCGCGCGACATCGGCTCATCTCACGATAGAGCTGCAACCTATGAACGTTGGGCGACGGAATATGGGGTAGCATATATGACTCCGAGTGTCCTCGGGCAGACTAACATCGTGTTGTGTGACCCGAAAGCTATTGCACATTTCTACGCTAGAGAGACATGGACATATGTGAAGACGCCCCTTACCTTGGCGTTTCTGGAGTCATCAGTATGTACATCATCATCTTACCTCGTCTTTTTTATATCTCTTGTCAGGTGGGCAAAGGGCTACTATGGGCTCAGGGAGAAAACCACAGAAGGTGCTGTTCAGCTCTTGTCCTTGCGCAAGCGACTAATTGACTTCCTGTGAATCAGGCAGCGGAAGGCGCTCACGCCAGCATTCAGTAATGCGGCCATTCGGAAACTCACATCGGTGTTTTATGACTCAGCATACAAGGCGAGGATTTGTGGTGCGAGAAATGTTTCATATCTGAACTTGATACCATACGATACAGGCCAAAGGAAAATGGGATACTGCCATTGAATCGAGCAAAGATGGTGACGCTGTAATCGAGGTCCAGAACTGGTGCGTAGCTTGTCTGACTTGTATGTGTCATTCTTAATCGAAACGATTCAAAGGATGAATCATATATCGTACGCGAAAATATTTTGTCATTGACGCCTCGAACTGACGGAACACCAGTTTGGACACGGTTGGGATTGCTGGTTTCTCCCATGATTTTGGTTCGCTCGATGGAAAGCGCGTCAGCGTGGCCGAAGCGTTCAATACATTCGGAAGCAACCAACCTTCAGCAGTGCACAAAGCTTTTATCCTGCTTGCATCAGTATTTCCTATCATTCTCAAGATGATCCCCAACAAGCGGCAGAATCTGTTCAAGAAACTTGGCATAACCATGGAACAAATATCCAACGAGTTATTGATTCGCAGCCGCCGGGAGAAGGACGCGAGTATGAGTCAGGGAGGCGAGGAGAATTCCCTCATCGGATTGTTGAGTATGCTTTTCGAAACATTAATCGTAGTTCTTTGATTAATGTGTTGATCAGTTAAATCTGAAAGGTCAGGATGCCGAGCTTCATATGTCGGGGGAGGAAGTAGTGGCTCAGGTCCGTGGCGACGATGTATCACAGCCATGATTTGCGAGCTGACATCCGGCAGATGAAGGTCTTGCTTCTCGCGGGTTATGAGACGACATCCAGTGAGTCGGTTTCTTGCCCGCTGCTATCACACTTGCTGACTCTTCGTCTACAGTCAGTCTTACGGTGAGTTTACTGCATAATTACTCCTGCGCACTGTATTGATGCGTTTGTCAGTGGGCGCTGATCGAGCTATCACGACACTCCGATGTGCAAACCAGGCTCAGAGAAGAACTGCTTGCCTTTGGCCCTGATCCGACATACGACCAATTAAAGGCTAACCTCCCGTACCTGGATGCGGTTGTGCATGAAACCCTACGACTTCATCCTCCAGTGCCAGAATCCACTCGTCTTGTGAGTGTGTATGTCTACATGTGAATAGACACGACAACTTTAAGTCCACAGGCAGCAGAAGATGACGTTCTTCCCTTGAGCGAACCTGTGCGCACGATGTCTGGCAACATGACGGATAGTATATCTATAGCGAAAGGGACATTGATCACTATATCAATCCCGGCAATCAATCGGTCTTTGGCCATCTGGGGACCTGACGCAAAGGAATTCAAGCCTGAGCGTTGGCTGACTGAAGACGGGATCAGTGGGAAGGCCAAGGAAGTCCAAGGTCATAGGCATCTGCTGACATTTGTTGATGGCCCGAGGGCGTGTCTTGGAAAAGATTTTGCGATCATAGAATTCAAGGTGAGTGACGTGGATTAGCCAGTTTGGACGTTATTTATCATGATACAGACGGTTGTATCAGTTCTGGTGAAGAACTTCGTATTTGAGATGCGGGATGGACCAGATACTCCAGTCGAAGTTGTCAGGGGAATCTTACTCCGTCCACGTGTTGTTGGAGAGGATGGTACTGGAGTACCTTTGAAAGTTCGTCGGTATGAATGATTGGTTGCGCTGCACCATTGAAGGCTGTTGACATAAAATATCAATATGATCACTTTGCATGTCAGTATGATACGCAGTTACCTTTCTCAATACCACACCATAGTTGCGTGATTACTTTGCAACTGCCAAAGATCCTGGACGGCTGTGTGGACAATTGATCTTTATGAAGTGCGGGGTGTTACTAAGTAGCTTGAACTTGGGATCTGAACCATCCACTCACAAACGAACATATGCGAGGTATTCTATCATATTGCAAATCAGCCCGAGGGAAGGTAGTGCTTTGCATGACAAATACTTAATACAAACAGAGTTTCTGCATTACAGGCTGAGTGGCAGGTGTCTAGGTACGGGTACTACATATGAGCGGACAAAATTCCTAATGATTTCAAGCAAAGTGATCAAATCGACATTTTATGTCAACCAGCCGTCAAAGGCGCAGCGCAACCAATCATTCATACCGACGAACTCTCAAAGGCACTCCAGTACCATCCTCTCCAACAACACGTGGACGGGATAAAACTCCCCTGACAACTTCGACTGGGGTATCTGGTCCATCCCGCATCTCAAATACGAAGTTCTTCACCAGAACTGATACAACCGTCTGTATCATGATAAATAACGTCCAAACTGGCTAATCCACGTCACTCACCTTGAATTCTATGATCGCAAAATCTTTTCCAAGACACGCCCTCGGGCCATCAACAAATGTCAGCAGATGCCTATGACCTTGGACTTCCTTGGCCTTCCCACTGATCCCGTCTTCAGTCAGCCAACGCTCAGGCTTGAATTCCTTCGCGTCAGGTCCCCAGATGGCCAAAGACCGATTGATTGCCTCCATTGATATCGTGATCAATGTCCCTTTCGCTATAGATATACTATCCGTCATGTTGCCAGACATCGTGCGCACAGGTTCGCTCAAGGGAAGAACGTCATCTTCTGCTGCCTGTGGACTTAAAGTTGTCGTGTCTATTCACATGTAGACATACACACTCACAAGACGAGTGGATTCTGGCACCTGGAGGATGAAGTCGTAGGGTTTCATGCACAACCGCATCCAAGTATGGGAGGTTGGCCTTTAATTGGTCGTATGTCGGATCAGGGCCAAAGGCAAGCAGTTCTTCTCTGAGCCTGGTTTGCACATCGGAGTGTCGTGATAGCTCGATCAGTGCCCACTGACAAACGCATCAATAAAGTGCGCAGGAGTAATTATGCAGTAAACTCACCGTCAGACTGACTGTAGACGAAGAGTCAGCAAGTGTGATAGCAGCGGGCAAGAAACCGACTCACTGGATGTCGTCTCATAACCCGCGAGAAGCAAGACCTTCATCTGCCGGATGTCAGCTCGCAAATCATGGCTGTGATACATCGTCGCCACGGACCTGAGCCACTACTTCCTCCACCGACATATGAAGCTCGGCATCCTGACCTTCAGATTTAACTGATCACCACATTAATCAAAGAACTACGATCAATATTTCGAAAAGCATACTCAACAATCCGATGAGGGAATTCTCCTCGCCTCCCTGACTCATATCCGCGTCCTTCTCCCGGCGGCTGCGAATCAATAACTCGTTGGATATTTGTTCCATGGTTATGCCAAGTTTCTTGAACAGATTCTGCCGCTTGTTGGGGATCTTGAGAATGATAGGAAATACTGATGCAAGCAGGAAAACAGCTGTGTCCACTGCTGAAGGTTGGTTGCTTCCGAGGGTATCAAACGCTTCGGCCACGCTGACGCGCTTTCCATCGAGCGAACCAAAATCATGGGAGAAACCAGCAATCCCAACCGTGTCCAAACTGATGTTCCATCAGTTCGAGGCGTCAGTGACAAAATATTTTCGCGTACGATATATGATTCATCCTTTGAATCGTTTCGATTAGGAATGGCACTTGCTAAGTCAGAAAAGCCACGCACCAGTTCTGGACCTCGATGACCGCATCGTCATCTTTGCTCGATTCTATAACATTATCCCATTGTCCTTTGGCCTGTAAGGTATGATATCAAGTTCAGAGATGAAACATTTCTCGCACCACAAATCCTCGCCTTGTATGCTGAGTCATAAAACACCGATGTGAGTTTCCGAATGGCCGCATTACTGAATGCTGGCGTGAGCGCCTTCCGCTGCCTAATTCGCAGGAAGTCAGTTAGTCGCTTGCGCAAGGACAAGAGCTGAACAGCACCTCCTGTGGGTTTCTCCCTGAGACCATAGCAACCCTTTACCGATCTGACAAGATATATAAGAAAGACGAGATAAGATGATGATGGTTACATACTGATGACTCCAGAAACGCCAAGGTAAGGGGCGTCTTCACATATGTCCATGTCTCTCGAGCGTAGAAATGTGCAATAGCTTTCGGGTCACACAGCACGACGTTGGTCTGCCCGAGGACGCTCGGGATCATATACACTACCCCATATTCCGTCGCCCAACGTTCATAAGTTGCAGCTCTATCGTGAGATGAGGCGAGGTCGCGCGAGACGCCATATACGAGGCTGGTACGAGGCGGACCCAGCAGTTGAGTCGTCTTGACTCGCCAGCGAAGCATCCTTAACACTTTGACAAGGGCCCATAATGCAGCAAATGAACAAGCAGCGTTAATTGCGCCACCCGAACGTACGGTTGTCCAGAGACTTGATGGAGAGGGAATGGCAAATAGGTTCATCGTTATGTTTGTTTCGAAGTGGGATCTATTGGGAGATCATTTATAGCTAGGTTGCCGTTTCTATGGATGCTGATAACGGCGTGCACTACGAAGTTGAATGGCTTAGGACTGTGCCCGACTGCGCTTGGAGCCGGTGTTTTAGGCATCAGTGAATTGAGGAGTCCTAGGCTTGATATGGTAGCCGTGGGGACTAATTATTAATTGGATATAATTCCGCTCGTGCTAAAGCCTAAATATGACATTATATACTGCGAGTTTTTGGTACATAGCGCTGCCATGGATGTCCATTACCATGAGGAGTTCACGACAAGGCCATGAAAATGCCAGAAATTGTGAATGTCACCCTAACAGCCGTGGGGCTTCCGTCGTCAGCGAGAACATCAGCTTGGTCGGTGTCCAGTACGTACCTTTCTTGTTCTTATGGAGTAGCACCTGACCTTTCATGAAGGATTAAGGAGGTCCGGCCATGGATTCAACGGGACATCGAACAGGCCAAGCAGTGCAAGGCAGATGTCATGCTGCAAGCCCTCCTACAGCGCGCCTCTTGCGCGCCGGAGACGAAACAGCCCGAGCTCCTGCAAAAGTGCCTGAAGGGAGTTTTACCTGTTTGCAATGGACAGGTCTCCACTGGAGGCATATCCTCTTCGGGCATCGAGACAGCACTGAAAGAATAGTGAGTGCTCCTCCGCTGATCGGACTTTTGCATTTACGATGATCCTAAAGCATATCTCCAGGAGCAGAAAATAACCTCTACGGCCCTTTTATTGAGGTCGCGAACATCGCGCTCGCTTGTCTTGAAGAGATCAAGGTCGACGGAATGGGTGTTCCTGTTACCACCGTGGACATGATCTGTCAGCAAAACGATATGCCTATGTACCAAACCCACCAGACGGTGAGATCAATTCGGAAGCCTGACGTCGTAATTCTTCCCTTGAATAGCACATGTGCTCCCTTTGAGGATGATAACGGTGGCAAGAAGGGCAAACAAAAGGGCAAAAAGAAAGACGACCAGAAGAATGCCACAAAGGACTATCAGAGGCGCAAGGCTCGCATGGTCAAGAATGCAACGGAAAAGCCGCCAGCGCCACTCCCCTGGATAGATGTTCTGGCTTGCATCGAGTTCAAGAGAAAGACCCCAGGGTGGACGAAAGGGATCAAATCACCTCCCTCTTCGTATACAGTGACAGACCATGTCCCTACCAAACCAGAATATCTGCCGGTGGATCATCTTAAGGCTCAAGCCCCGGCGCCAGACCCTTCGCAGGCTCCAGTAACACAACCTGTGTCGGACACTGCACGTAAGTGATTTCATTTTTGATTCCAAAATCACACTAAATCAACCGAGCAGCTGTTCGATCTTTGGGCCTTACTGCTGCACAGCCTTCCAAGGGCAGGTTCAGCTCCAAGCGCAAGGCTGCAGACACTTTGCAATCCGCCGGGAAAAAATCAAAGGTCAACCTCGACGAGCCAGATGTGACAGTTCAGACTGGTCTGTACGCTGCCGAAATGTTTGCGGTCAATCTTGCCGTTCATCATCTGATCAATTTTATTGTCATCGGTAGGTTCGTTCATCTGCCGACATTGGTCGCGCTCTTACCACTGCTTTTCTAGACGATGTGATCTGGACCTGGTATTATGATCGCCAGGGCACCATTCAAAGCTCAGGCGTCAACTTCATTCAAGACCTCTCACGATTCATGGTGCTGTTGTATGCCTTGCAACGCTTCAGGGCTCATGATTGGGGTCGAAACAGGGACTTCTTCCCAGTTCAAGCTGAGCGGAAACCATGCTATGAATTCAAAATCAAGGATGAAAAACTTGGAGAGGTGGATCTGCTCCTTCATACCAGCCACGACGAAAGAGTGACGCACTACGGACTGCAAGGAAGGGCCACTAATGTGGTCCTTGTCGCTAGCGAAGCGCTCAGGAAGAAACACGGCAACTTACAGGATGGTATGGTGGCCAAAATATTTTGGGGAGAGGCGGATCGTACTAGCGAGCCGGAGATCCTGAAAAAGGTCGAGGGGATTGCTAAGGGGCACGCAACTGTCCAAGGTCATGTTCCCGAGTTCCTTTGGTACCACACGTTCACGCATCCCACGTCCGCCATCCGAGAAGCGCTTGGTGTTCCGGAACCCACCACGGGCAGTCGCATGCTCTACATTCTTGTATTCCGGAAGCTCCTACCCATCACGAAGCTCTACGGCAAAGAGCTTTTTGATGTCTGGCGTCAGTGTATTTTGTGTACGTATTTCATTGGTTTTACGTGTCCCTTTGTAGACGTAGTGTGCAGGCCACCTTACTCTACGGAAGGAAGGGGTCTACCATCGAGATGTCAGCCCTGGAAATTTGATGTGGTATTGGAAAGATGGGAGGCGGATTGGTGTCCTCAACGACTACGATCTATCCTCGTTGGCGAATGACCGAGGACCTCGGGGCAACGAATGCACGGGCACGGTGCCGTTCATGGCGCTCGATCTTCTATCCGCCAAGGGTCAGCAAGGCGAAGTCAAACACCTGTATCGCCATGATCTGGAGTCATTTACGTGGGTTTTTATCTGGATTTGCTTGCGTTACAGGCAGGGAATCCTTCTACCAGCGGAATTGCGCCCCTTGGATGAATGGGCGACATTAAACCCTGTGACATGCGGCGAAAAGAAATATGTTTTTCTAAGTCACCTGCGAATTCATTATCCCTCGGACATCGATTCACGCATAGGGATGTTTCTTGTGGAGTGTGTGGAGGTGCTTCGAGAATATATCAGCCGTAGATCGGCTCGGCTCGATCGTCTAATTGCCCGAGGAATAGTCGAGCACTCCAACGACGAGGAAATTGAAGATATCGATGGGTTTCTACATATGTTTACAGACTTGCCGAGCTGGGTTGAACTCAGCAGCCTTTCGCAGTGATTTTTTTGCTTGTACATACGTTGCCTTTGCCGATCGCAGTACGTATAACCTCCAGTTGTTTATGGGTAGAATAAGTATCGCAAGCGGCCACTTTACGGTGTAGATATCATTATCAGTGTGGTGAATCACTGTCGCTCATGCACATGATGTTACAAAGACGGACAAGCTTAGCACAAAGACAACACTAGTATGTATCTTAACCGCATCCAACTTTCTAACCAAATTGAAATTATTGATTTAGCTCACGAGCAAGCTCGATAGGAATACCTTCTATGAAACCTGCTATATTTCTATATTCCACAGCTTCGTCGTCCATGTAGTGACTCGCGATGGCCAGCACTCTTTACATCAGCATCTGGAGAAAATCGATCCTGCGCTGGAGTTCCATGGCTCGAGTCTCAGTGTCTCCATTCCACCGGCAGGTGATGAGCTCTCCGACCTCCGAACCATTGCCTGCTATCAATCGCTGGGCTTAGAGTACAGCTAATGTGTTCACCCACTCGTGATGCCCCTCCATTTTCTTCCATACAGCTCCATTCTTCTACAAGTCCCACCATGCCCATATGTCGTTCACTGGTATCCTGGGGATTGCGAATGAACATATATACATTTTCATCAACTTCAAACACTTGTGTGGGGAGTATCAATGGGCTCCGTTGCTTATTTCGACATTGTGGCCGAGCTTGGTTGTGTTGAGCACAGTTGAAGTAGACTTGCTGGAGGGATGGTGGGCGTCTTGACTGTTGCTACTGCATAGGCGAGTTTAGTCCTGTTTCCAACATCTTTAATGTCACCTGAGATACAAGGTTGTTTGCTTCAAACCTTGGTTGCAGACGGTTCGCTTCCCGTTCTCACAAATTATGCCGACGATGTACCAGTCACTCCTCGCGCCTGAGGCTGCACAGCTTTAAAAATGCCTTGTGTCCCCCACGATCGTGCAGCCTGTGCTTCTTGGCCCATTGTTGAACCTGGTGGTACCTAATGGATACACCTTTCACGTATGATCAACTTTGTCATGGTCGCACGTGTATCATCTCTGTTTCTCATATCGAGCTGCTACCCCAGCATCTCACATGTCTAAACGGTCACAGCCTTCTAGCGTACGTCATGATCACCTCTCACCAAACTGAAATGCCGTTTCCTCACTGTACTATCACTCTAGCCATGCCACCCATTCCCAATCCAAGGTCTGCATGCGCACTGGACGCAGCCAGAAGATCTCCCATTCCAAACCGCGAGTAGTCCGCTAAGCGGTTTCTGCTTTCTAACGCATGTTTTATGCAACCATTGTCGATGATATCTTAAGGGTATCATAACCTTGCCCTCTTACGATCTGCTGATGGAAGTGTAACGTCGACTTTCGGTATGCGTTCTCTGCCGAACATTAATACATCGTGGTTGAATTAAACTGCAGGACTTGTTTGGTTCAAGCACTTTAGCCTACAAAGTTCATGGGTGCTCCAAGGACTGTACACGCAATACTTTGCCTCTGTGCTAGCCAGTCTCCGCGTTTTCCTCCCACAGACACAGCAACGTTACTCCAGCGCTTGTCCCCACCTGACTATTTCCTAATCTGCAACCTTCACTTGGTTCCGGCCACACATATTCTTTTTCGACAGAGATCTAAGGTTGCTCATGTCTAGCGTCGCGTGTCAAGGATAGAAGCGGTACGCTATGTACTCACAGTGTACTTGGAAGTTGAATGGTCTAGGATATCCAGTGTAATATCATGGCGATGGACGGGCTGTTAGTGCTAACTTTTGAAGAGATGCCAATCTGCCTGACTTCAGTTGAAGTACTGCAGCTTTGTCACTCTCCGATGTGATCGGATTACACATACTGCGCAATAATCTGGAGGATGAGACTAGTAAGTGTTTATCGGACCTATGATAGTGCCGAGGCTTTTTGCACAGGCTTACATTACACAACCGCATGCTCCTAATTTAAGATGATCCGGATCCCCTAAAATGCATTAGCGTGATTATATGACAAGCATATAAATCATCCACCCACATGCACCATTCCACATTCTGGTTTCCCTCTCAAATATGGCTGCAGTTCAACAGATTTATTCAGGGAGCGAACTTGATGCCTTGTTCCCCTCTCCATCTTCCCCGCCGAACGTGCTTTCCCCTCCGCGGTATCCTGGTGTTTCCCCAGAAGCAGTCGTAGCTTTGGCATATGTCTTGAAGGAAAACTATACGAAGTACCACATTTTCTTCAACTACAAGCGGTTCCATAAGTGCGTATGCATCTTAACTAATCTGTATCTCATGTTACTGATTCGAACGTCGATGAAGCCACATCACTCATCGCGCGCTAGCACTTTTTGTCACAGGCGCGAGTGGATCTCTGATCGAAGAGTTCTACAAACAAGACACCACCTACCAGCGCCCAGCCATTGAGTCTCCCGAGGCTGTCACAGAAGAGAACTTTATTGAACATTTAGGCGATGACAAGTGAGTTTATGATTCTTACTTCAACACCCTGCTCAATAAATTTCTTGCCAGCTTTTACGCCGCGTACAAATCCTTCTTCATCAAGGTTGTCGATGAAAGGAGCCTCAGCTCCACGCTAGAGGAATACATCTTCTCTAAGAAGTACAACTTTATAGAGGGACGAGACGCGTCCGCCCAGCCGGTGATGTTGGCGCGCTTCCTTGGAGGTTTGTTCCACGCCTTCATCCATGTAGGATACGGCGCGGAATTAGGCATCCCAGGCATGGTTGTCGAAGGCGAGCAATGTGACACATCGCCGTAGAAAAGTCCCTGACAGATATCTCAAGGTCTTGCATTGGCCAGCGTGCATAAGTATGAGTTCTTGCCGTCGTATCTTTTCGAGCCCAGCGGCCCAACTGGAGTGGAAGAGGCAACAACTTGGCTTGCCTCCCTCGTCCTTAACACAAAGGCATCTACTGTGCCCTCTCAACTCGAACAACCGCCAAAGAACCATGCGTTTTCTATTCTTGCCAAGATCATGCAAGATTCGAAATTCACACCGAAGGAAATCAAGAAGCATTTTAACAATTTTGATGGCTTGATGTCCGAGCATGGTGATACTTTATGGCACTACGCTGAACAATGGACGATCGATCCGTCGCAGCCAGGCGAAATCGAACGCAAGATGGAAGAATGTATTTGGACAAGCACTATCATCTACACCATTGGCGGATGGAACAAAGACAGAAGTTTCACAGCAGACTTCACATAGTAAGTGGCGTCAAATCTGCTATCTGTGAAAAAATACTGATTTTTGGGGTGCTCCAGCATGCATCTCGTCACCTCAAGTCTCTTCCTTCCATCCCTGTTGGCTTACCTGCCACAAAACTCGCAAATTGTTTTGCTTCGCGGATACTTTGCATCGACTCTTGGGTGGTGGATCACATGCGGTTTCCCTAGACTGGACATTCAAGGCTTCCTGAGCGCCACCTCACGTCCTTCGTCAGAAATCAAGGTCGCTAACCCATTCCTCGATATCGTTCAGTCTGTGATGACTCACCCAAACGAACATATGCCGAAGATTCAGCGCGCCTTTGCGTATTTCTCGTCCCTTTATGGCGCACGGCCTAAGGGTTACTTCAAGGATACGGAACTGGAGGGTGCAGAAGCTCTGGACGGATCGCTCTTCCTTTTGGCTGCGAGATTGACTGGGGAGTATATGAGCGAAGGTACTAGGTTCTGGAGCCTAGGAGGGTTTCCTGTGAGCGATTAGGAGTGGACGAGGGATTTGATATGTATGTGTTACAAACACCGTTGAACCAATGACTGTACTTTTCAAACTTGTCAAATGTGTTGATCGTCTGATATCGCCCAAGACACAGCGATATATCCATTCACAAGGGGCACGCAGCACATGGATCTAAAAGGGGTAACCATTGTGTGCGAGAAGTGTAACCGAGTCATACATCTGTCTTCTTTCTGAACCTCAGCTGGAGCGAGCGTCGGACTCCGTTCCACCCTAAAACATAAATCCCGAAATCAGGATTCTTAGAAGAAATCATAATATAATGTTTCTAGGCACTAGCATAAGCCCGGATCGATATAATAGTTGCGTATTACAGAACACCATTTGTATGGTAAAATACCATGAAAAATATAAACTGATGGGCCTGGTGCACTGCTATCGACCTTGTTCTTGATGGATTGATGGATCCGATTTAGTAGTACTAATACCGTGACTACGGACTCATGTCAGGGTCACGTGAACGTGTTGATGGGAACGCGTCTTCGACCAACCGCCACATCAATCCACATCTGAGATTTAATGATTGATGGTCCACAACATTTGCGCCACACTGGTCGACCAGATATAAGGAAGGCAGTCGTTTCTGTTGTCTTCTTAACTCTTCCTCCTCACCAATTCTGCTCGTAACACTCAATCAGCGTAATCGCTGAACACCTAGTGTCATGTCCCCTGCCGGCGAGACTGAGTCTACTCCTCCACGCGCCAATGCATCAGCTCCAGGTGCTAGTAAAATAAAATCCACCCCAAACAGCCGCGGGGCCTCCGTCGTCAGCGAGAACATCGGCGTGCTCGGTGTCAAGTGCGCACATTTCCTGTCTTTATCGAGTAGAACCTGACATTCCATCAAGGGTTAAGAAGGTCCGCCCATGGATTCAACGGGATATCGAGCAGGTCAAGGAGTGCAAGGCAGATGCTATGCTGCAAGCCCTCCTTCAGCGCGCTTCCTCTGCTCCCGAGACTAAACAGCCCGAGCTTCTGCAAAAGTGCCTCAAGGCGGTTCTGCCTGTTTGCAATGGGCAGGCTTCTACTGCTCTCGTAAAGTCTTCTGACATTCAGACAGCCCTCAACGAATAGTGAGTGATTTTTTCTAAGTTCGCTGATCGGACGTTTTCATGCTCACAACCATCGCAAGCGTACGTCCAGGAGTGGAGAACAACTTCTACGGCCCTTTTATAAAAACCACTAACATTGCCCTCGCTTGTCTTGAAGAGATTGAGATTGATGGGATGCGTGCTCCTGTCCCTACCGTGGACATGATCTGCCAGCAGAACGATATGCCCATGCACCAGATGCACCAGACCAAGAAATCAACTCGGAAGCCCGACGTCGTGATTCTTCCTTTGAATAGCGCATGCGCTCCCTTTCAGGATGAGAAAGGCGGCAAGAAGGGCGAACAGACCAGCAAACAGAAGGGCCCACAGAAGGACGACGAGCAGCGCAAGAAGAAGCGCAAGGCTCATATGGACACGAATGCAATAGCTAAGCCGAAAAATCTCCCCTGGAAAGATGTTCTAGCTTGCATCGAGTTCAAGAGAAAGATACCAGGGAGGACGAAAGGGATTGAGTCACCATCCTCTACGTATACAGTAACAGACCATGTCCCTACCAAACCGGAGTATCTGCCGGTGGATCATCTTAAGGCAGAAGTTTCTGCGCCAGGCCATTCGCATACCCCAGCAACACAGCCTGTGTCTGACGCTGCACGTAAGCGATTTCATTTTCGATCTCAAGATCAAATTAAATCAGCCCAGCAGCAGTTCAATCTTCCGGCCTTACTACTGCACAACCTTCCAAGGGCGGGTCTAGCTCCAAGCGCAAGGCTGCAGACACTTTGGAATCCACCGCGAAAAAATCTAAGATGGATCCCAATGACATGGATGCTGACGCGGACGCAGATCTAGATGTGACCGTTCAGACGGGTCTGTACGCCGCCGAAATGTTTGCGGCCAATCTTGGAGTCAATTATTTGCTGAATATTATCGTCGTCGGTGGGTTCGTTCGTCTGTTGAGATTGGTCGCGCTCTTACCACAGCTTTTCCAGACGATGTAATGTGGATCTGGTATTATGATCGGCAAGGGATCGTTCAATGCTCAGGTATCAACTTCATTCAAGATCTTCCGCGATTTATGGTGCTGTTGTATGCTTTACAACGCTTCGGGCTTCACGATTGGGGCCGAAACAAAGACTTCCTCCCAATTGAAGTTGAGGGGAAACTATGCCACGAATTTAAAATCAAGGATGAAAAACTTGGAGAGGTGGATCTGCTGCTTCACACCAGCCACGACGAAAGAGTGACACACTACGGACTGCAAGGACGGGCCACTAATGTGGTCCCTGTCACTAGCGAAGCGCTCACGAAGAAATATGGCAAGTTCGAGGATGGGATGGTGGCCAAGATCTTTTGGGGCGAGGCGAGTCGCACTAGCGAGCCGGAGATCCTGAAAAAGGTTGAGGAGATCGCCAAGAGGCACGCAACTGTTCAAGACCATGTTCCTCAGCTGCTTTGGCACCACACGTTCACAAATCCCACGGCCGCCATCCGAGAAGCGCTCGGTGTTCCGAAACCCACTACGGGTAGTCGCGTGCTCTACATTCTTGTATTCCGCAAGCTCCTCCCCATCACTCAGCTTCACGGCAAAGAGCTTTTTGACGTCTGGCGCCAGTGTATTTCATGTACGTGTTTCATTGAATCTACATGTCTCTTTGTTGACATCACATGCAGGCCATCTTACTCTGTGGAAGGAAGGGGTCCACCATCGAGATGTCAGTCCGGGAAATCTGATGTGGTACTGGAAAGACAGCGAGCGGATAGGCGTTTTGAACGACTACGATCTATCCTCATTGGCAGATGACTCAGGTCCTCGGGGCAATGAGCGCACGGGCACGGTGCCGTTCATGGCGCTCGATCTCCTCACCGAAGAGGGTCAACGAGGTGAAGTCAAACACCTATATCGTCATGATCTGGAGTCGTTCATCTGGTGCTTCGCCTGGATCTCCTTGCGTTACGAGAATGGGGTCCTTCTATCACGGAGATTGCGTCCGTTGGATGAATGGGCGACTTTAGGCGCTGTGGCATGTGGCGAGAAGAAGTACCATTTTCAGGGTAATGTGAAACCTCCCGCACGCTCCCACATAGACTCGTCCCTGTGGGCGTTCCTTGTGGGTTGTTTCGATGTGCTTGAAACGCACACCTTCAATCGACGCAAACAACTAATACGATCGATAATAGACGCAGACCAGCCGACGACCTCCGAGGAATCAGAATCAGATCTTGATGGTTTTCTACAGTCATTCGAAAATACCAAGGGCTGGGCTGCGCTTAGCAAACTTCTACCAGAATCTTCACAGTGATTCTCTTTGCCCATTACATTACCTACGGTTTCTTGGCTCTGATACTTGCGTCGATTGCCCGTGTTTGATCCGTCTCCAGTAGGTAAACCAATTGAATAGATGCATGATAGTGACTCGCCATTATGCAGAATGGAACGAACAGAAATGGTGTCATGTTTAGTAGATGACGGCTGAGCGGTGAGCGGTGATTTCCAACAAAAATGCAGCGCGCTACTACTATAAAGTCCGAGCAAATACAGGAATGTACGCTTCATCCTTACAGGTCGCGATAGTCGCGAAGGACAGCAGATGGATACGCTTGCTAGACTCACTTGCAAGTCGCAGTGGAGTCCCACGATTTGTGCCTTGATCAAACCACCAAGGGTTTTTGTTCACGGCGTCCTCAGTCAACGATTCACGTTTCAGCAAGTCATCTCCTTCACCCCCGAGGTTTCTGCCCGTGGTATGTTTGCGAAGACCTCGATAGATACGTGTCTATCGTGGTTCACCCTACATCGAGCAGCAACGCGCTCGCGAGCAAGACATCAGAAAAGGTTTCCGAGATCACGAAACAAGAGATCACCAAAGGCCCTGTTCCTTGTTGGATTCTAGAAACAAGCCAAGGGTAGTCGCCTGCTCTACATCCTTAATTCCGCAAGTTTCGACCCATTATGGCGCTCCATGGTGAAGACCTTTTCAACATTCACGAATTCCACGTCCACCATCCGAGAAGCGCTCGGCGTCCTGGCAGTCGCGTGCTCTACATACTTGTATTCCGCAAGCTCCAACTTAAATTTACGACGATTGAATCGATGAGCTTTTCGACTTGTGGTGTCAATGTATCCTACTACGTACGTGTTTTCGTCCCATTTCCCATGCTTCCTCGTTGACCTGGCGTGCAGGTCACCTTATTCTGTGGAAGGAAGGGATCTATTATCGAGATGTCTGCCCCAGAAATTTGATGTGGTACTGGAAACACGGTTCCGAAGCGAATAGGTATTTTAAGCGACTAAGACCTATCCTCGTTGGCGAATGACCCAGATCCTTGGGGCAACGAACACACGGGAACGGTGCCGTTCATCTTCTCACCAGTTATTTATGCGGTGCTTTACTAGAATGGAGTCCTTCTGGCACTATTACGCAGATTATGCCCCTTGGATGAATGAGCGACTTTAGACGCTGTGGCATGTGGCGAGAAGAAGTACTTTTGGGTCATATGCAACTTCCTGCACGCTCCCACATAGACTCGTTCGCCGAAAATTGATTTTCTTATACCCCTGAGTACGAGAAGTCAGCGTCACGTGCGTGTTAATGTATTACTCCAGGCGCTCGATCTATGCGTTTCGAATGCGATTGGCTGCGATACGCTAGAAAACAAGTAAACAGACTCAGTTTTCAACGGTGCGTGGTGTTTACAAAGGGACTGCTAGAAGCTAATGATAGAAGAAATGTTTTTGTTGGGTATTTGGGCGAAAGCCCGCAGGGCTTTTCCGGTCCAAAACACGTGTCCGTACCTGTGGCGCAAGGTGAGCTGTGTTCCCGAATTTTAGGAGTTCAGCGACGCATGCAGCGAAGCTTGATGCCCTTGTGTTCTAGGAGATGGACTCACTTCAGTTTATCGCCTGATGGGAGGCATGATATGGCGTGTGAATGGCTCGAGTGCTGGAGAGGCTTGGATATAAGGTGCGAGTACTGTCGCATGTTCTCGCAAATAACTCGCGAAGGTGTCACTGGACCACCTCCCCATAGCTTTTACGACGTCGAAAGGCACTCCGCGCAGCAGATACTCCAGGGTCCCCCCGATGCGGAGGCCATGTCCTTTTAGATCTGGTTGCTTTGCTGCTTCCGCAGCTGCTGCTGTCCTTTTGAGGAGTTGTCTCTTTGACAATGGACGCATTCCTTTCGCGTGTTTCCATGCAAACAGGTGCGTTTGTTCAGCATTGGTTGCTGGGTTCACGCGAAAATGATTCTCTAGTGCCTCTTTGGGGTTCGTTGGTCCTTCTTGCGCGGCCCAATACGCATCTTCTCCTTCGACTGGGGAGCATTTTGTTCTAGGGAGGTGTATTTTGGTGACAGGAAGTCCGTTGCGGTCGGTGGTTTCTGACACGTTAGCTCTGGTGACGTGTTTTCCAGGATCAAAATCTCTGATGGCGCTGACTGTGAACTCTCCAAGCCTCGCTATGGAGTAAAATGTCGTGGTCAGACACGCGAATACCGCTGCATCTAAGGGTGTGGTGAGGTCCAGTTGGTTGCGGATAGCGGCCAGGGAATCTGGTGTGTATGGGTGTCGTTTGGCCTTTTTGGACTCTGCTGGTGCTGATGCAGCGGCACCATCTAGGACCGCTTTGAGTTCTCTAGGCGGGATCAACCAGTCTCTTCCGTGCAAGAGATGCCACGCTCTGAGGCCCGCTGCATAATTGTTTAGCGCGGAGCCTGAGTACGACCCGGCGCAGCTGCATAAGAAATTGAGTAGCAGGGTGCGATTGATAGGACAGCGCTTGTCCTCCTTGATGCAATTTGTGTCACAGAACACATGAAATACAAGTAAGCCTGCTCCGTACGTTTCTTTTGTTGATTGAGCCCATGCTGACCCCATGATGTCCAGGATGCATTCTAGCTGCTGATCTGACATTTCCTGGTTTGTCGGATCGTTTGTTGTGTTTGTTGTTTGTCTTGCGCTGATTCCCGCTGGTACCCATAACCTTAATCTGTCTCTTGCTAGGCAGTGTGGATGCAGTGCGGATAGCTGTGGGGTTAAGTTTGATTTATAGCGTAGAGGGATAGAGGGAGCGCTAATGTGCAAGGTACTGGGCAAGGGGGTGCCGAAACGTGCGTTTTCCGTGCTACTGTCTCTCACTGAGTGCTTTGCTGATGAAGTCTTCCTCCTCTTTTCTGTCTGCACCTGCTCTAACGATCGCTTGTTGTTTGAGGAGTTCTCTGTTGATGAGCTTGGCAGCGGGAGCGGAGTAGTAGCTCCTGTTCCGTAAGAGTCTAAGCTCGGTGGGAGAGAGCGGTTTGGTGGCATCAATGAGGAAGCCTTCAAGCTCGGCTGGAAGCTTGACTGGGGGAAGAAGAAGGCTTCGCGGTCCGTAGATTCCTCTGGAGGGTTTGTCTGCTGGGTTAGAGGCACTGGCGACGTAGGAAGTGACAACCTCGAAAGGGCCAGGTAGAGAGTGAGTGAATTCACTGATTCTCCTGAAGACTCCATTAACTTCGTGATTCCTGTGCCTCTGTCTCCACCATCCCTCGACGACGCCTGTGTTGTCTCCCTGGATGAGGACGTGGCTGCTAATGTTAGGGATAGCGGCGACAGTGTATATGAGTAGTTCGAAAGCCACAGCTTCTGCCCATCCAATGTCACGTTTGCCATTGTGCGTCTTCCACCCGGGTATCAGTCTCTACGCTCTCCAGTGTTCGCCGACTACTAGACCTATTCCTATGCCTGAACTCGCGTCCGAGAACGCTAGTGGGTTCTCTAGCTTCGTTGTGGGGAGGATGGGACACGTGACACCTCCGGATTGGATCAAAAGGGACCACCAGTCGAGGTCGTCTGCTACTCTGTCTCCTGCTCGATGTGGGAGAAACGGCTTCTCGCTGCAGTGTGAGAGCATTGCTTTGAGGCTCGTTAAATACGCTCTGCCTCGAGGTACTGCTTCACATGCGTGTAATAACTTTCCGTAAAGTTCCTGGACATCTTGCAGCGTGTGTGCTCGCCGCTTGCGCCATATGTGTATTGCCGCAAGATATCTGTCAATTTTTGTCACGTTTAAAGCTACTGATAGGGTATAGCATGGGTACACCCGCGGGTCGGAAGATCAACACCGTACCCGTACAGATACGGGTACGGTATTACCCGTACTAACCCGCGGTATGGCAGCTTACCCGCGGTGTTGCATTTACCCGCGGGTACACAAACAAAAAATAGTGAGACTACGTAGAATAACCTTATCCAACGCTCTCGTCCTCTCGTTTTCTTTTCTTCAGAGACTTCATGATCTTAGTAAGGTCCTCGGGCGCTACCAGATCACAGCGGAGCCATGAGCCAAGACAGAGGAATGCACGGGTTGATGCTGGAGACAAGCGGTTTCGAGTAAAGTGCAGAAGGTGCCGGCCTTGCGAAAATACATGTTCAACTGCAGTTGAGGTAGCTATGGTGTGTGATACATAAGCTGTGATGCTAGCGAGAGCAATGGTGCACAACCTACCAGGAATACTAAGGTAATCAAGTGCCATCCGGTGCAAATTTGGATATGTCTTTTGATTATGGACCCACCATTGCAGCGGGACTTTGGTATTCTCCACTGGTTGCCGCAAATAGTTGTCAAGCTCATCTACTAGAGATGCCGCTATGCCAAGAGATATGTCACCAAAGTCATCAGCGCATTGTCGCACCTTGTCTTCTGCCAAGACATGTGCAGCTGGAGTCAAAGGTAAGACCTGGTCTTTGTAACGATCTATGCACTCTTCTCGAATGAGATTTTCGGCAGCCTCAATCCATTCATCTTCCCATTTTTGTAGTCGGAAATATTTGAGCTTCAGGCCAGGGTGGAGAACTAGCGAGACATGGGTCAGCACAAACCACCTCATATTGAAACAATTGACAACTTATGCTCACCTGTTGCGATGCGATACGTGTTTGAGTCATCAGTCATTTTCCAGTATCTATCCATTTTCTTGCGAGCAAGTTTCATCGCAGCTTGGATGGCTGGTTGGAACCCCTCTTTCGTCTCAACATTGCTCATATGGCTATCGAGTTTGTCCATTGCAGGTATGACTGCATAGACACTGGCCGAGTTGCGTGAAAAAAAGAGGGTTGCTTCGACCTGTGGAACGATAAGCTTAACACGTTTTGCAACATTGTCTGCCACTATGGACTGCGGACTCAATGATGATACATCTGAAGTTTCTGAACGCGTAGACTCGGCGATCGAGGCCGTCTGATTGACCATAATGATGGAGTGAATGGATGAATGGAGGGAGTATTGAGAAATGTAGAGTTAAAGTGATGTATATCGAAGCGGACAGGCGGGACCTAGACAAAGGTGCGAATATCTCAGTATTCGCATTGAAAACTCTCTACTAACAAATTCTATACCTAGATTATAAGGTGCGTGCGTCAGGTACTGTGATATAAGATAAAATGGACTGAAACATTAGAGGGCGCGAGCCGACGTCGACAGGTCGCTCACCGTGCCCGTTTTGGATGCGCATCTCCCCTTGTGCCTGTTCTTCGGCCGTCCCGTCCTTTCCACTCTCGGTTCTATCGGAGACACCCGTAAACATACCCGTATACCGTGCTAACGGGTACGGTATGACCACGGGTACCACATCTCGACACCGTACCCGTACCCGCCATACCCGTGACCCCCATACCCGTGGTGTGGCCCATACCCGTGCTATACCCTAGCTACTGATCTGTTCTCAATGTTCCATACAAAACCTAAATGTACCGTAGTCGTTTGAAAAGGCTGGTCTTTCAAAGGTTCCCAAATGATACCTAGTTCCTCTGACAAGGTGTCTATGTCTTGCAGATTGCAATTGAAACATTTGTCATGGTCAGATCTAGTGGATCATTTTGAAAAATCTTGCAGCGGTTTCGAGCAATCTTCACTCAGTTCCTCGAGTTTTCCAGTCTCTGTGCACATGCAGCCGAACCAAAGACGACTTCCCATTTGGTGCGTACCTTCCTGTGCGAAGGATTGGTTCCAATTCTTTCTGAAATTGTTGTACTGGTCTAAGAATTCGAGCTTGATCCTGAAAAAGATATAGTCGTCGACCCATTTGTCTAAAGGGCCGATTCTGTTGTATCGGAAAATCTCGGCTCCTGCATCTGCTATGTGGCCGTAAGCCCCTGCAGATGGAGCTGCCCCAAACACTATGCAAGTGTCTACGCAGAAAATAGAGTCTGAGATTCGTACGTCACCTGCAGGCCATTGCGATGGATGGAGTGGTACTGTTTGGTAAGCTTCTGCGACATCTCTTGTCGCTGCTTCAGAGCCAGGAGGAAGGTTCACGATGATTTGGTAAATGATGGAGAATTTTCCCCATGTGGTCGGGAAATTGTTTGTCTTGATGGCAGAATTCACTGACGGATTTGGGAAAGAAGCATTGGGTGAATGCGGATACGAAAAATTCTGGATGATTCTGAATTTTCCTGGTTTGCCCAGTTTTGGGATGATTGACAGTGGTGACGATTGGTAAGGCCCTATAAGACTTTCCAAGATTGAGGCTGGGAAAGGCCCTATGTACCTGCCTTTGCGCAACTCTTTTTGAATGATGGCATCAAACTCAATCGAGTATTCGGAAATTGAATCTCTATTTGGAGGCGCTTGTACAGTTCTGATAGAAGGAAAATCTATTTTGAAACCTAAAAGAAGTCCTTCTGGTATCTTAGCGAAGCGGTCAAGTAAACCGGCTCTTCGAAGTTCTCGTTTCCAAGCATCAACTTTGTACGGTGTCAATGGTCTCAGCTTTCTGAGCTCTAGGGCATCTTTGAGTGCCGTGGGTGGCTGCTCTGCATCCTGAACATACGTGACGTGCATCGTGTTTGGGGGTGGTGCAACCTTCTTCGCGTTGCCAGCCCATACAGATTTGTTTTCCGTCTTTGGTCCAAAGACCTTTGCGGATGTGCTCGGCAAATGTCTCATATTGGTTGTCCCACATGCGAGAGGCGGCGCATTCCATGGTATGATGAGGGTTCCTTCCCAAGCATACTGCGCAACAAGGTAATGTACCTGCAGCAGCAAGAGGATGAGGCTGTCGTACCTTCTTGTTGCTATATGAGGTTTCTTCCGCAGGGGGGTATGGTCGCTTCTGTGACGTTGCGACCTGCTGCGATGGCATCCGTGAGAGGTGCTGGTTGCTGGCTACGAAAGTAGCTGCTGCTTGCTCTGTAGGAGGAGTTCCAATGTTACAGATAGCAAGTTACCGATCGTGTGATACGAGGTATGTACGTGGCGATCACGTAGTTGATGTGAGAAGTTCCCAGTGAGGGACGACACATGATGGTCGTGGATTTTCATGATGAAATCCCGGTGGGTGGTACCAGCATGAGCGCGATGCAACACAGAGGTCGGTGGTACCAGAGTGAGCGCAATGCAACACAGAGGTCGGTGGTTACCATGTCGGCGCGCGATTGGCCGACAGTGGGTGAGAGTTTTTAAAATATAAAACATTTCGCAAAATTGTTATGGAAAAGGGACGAAGAAGTCGAGAAGTTGATTGAGTATTTGAACCTTTGAGTGAAATCAAATGAAAAAGGTACTGACGGATTGCTAACACTGTATCTTTATCTCTCTTCTCATTGAAAAGTTCTTCTCGAGCTTCGAGGATGAGATCTTGATTGAGCTCTTCTAGACTCCAGCTCTGGGCCGTACCGATAGTCATGTGCCAGCGACGATGTTGTTGCGATTGGTAGAGTAGCAGCGCTCTTTGTTTGAGTGTATCTGGGGCATGACGCCAGCGGTGCGATTGGAGTGCGCACAAGAATTGAATATGCATGTCGACTCGATCGTCGGGCCAGTCGTGTAGTTTCATTGAAGCGATCATGCACGGTGCTGCCTCGTTGAAATTCTCCCACGAGAGATTTTCGTCTTTGACGATGGGGGCAGATTTTGGATCCTTGACCACAGCAGCAGGGACCCATGAGTGTAGCCCATCTGTGGCTGGTAGCATCACTAAGGCCTCTGGTTCTGCTAAGAGGTTCGAAACTTTGGCATCTTCTAGACCCTTGTTGGTGAAGTAGTGCAACTTGCAATAATCTCCCGCTTTCATTTTCCTTAGAGCGTACTGTGCGGGGATGATTGTTGGGTCAGAAGGTACCTTCCCTCGTACTAGAGGTGCATATTTGTTTTTGTTCTTCTTTCTATCTTCTAGGTGGGCGGCCTCTTGTTCGTCTTTGATTAGTTGCCTGCGTTCTTCCTGCTCCTCCTCTTCTCTCTGTTCAGCCTCGTGCCGGCGCCGTTGTTCGAGAGCCCAACGTTCTTTGTCAGCATTGTTGGTCAGGGTCCAAAGGGCTGAGAGTGAGCGAGCTGCTTGGTCTGCGTTGAAACCTTCATCAATGAGCTTCTGACGCGCATTTTCGTGCTCTTGAGTCGTGAAGTCTGGCCTTATGGCTTCATTAGGGTTCTGTGCGGGCATTATTACTGAGGAAATAAATGCAAAAGACGTATAAACAAGTAGCTAAAACTCGGAATAAGGCAAGGCTGCGAGGTGGGCAGGAGCAAGAGTCACTGCGCCACCTCGCTAACTTCCGCTTAGACTAAAATCTTTGCCGGCCTCGTTCCTCGGCCGGCTTAGATAACCATCTGTACACATTCTGGCAAGCGCTTTATGAAAGGTTCTCACACTTACCAACAGTCTGCAATTTATGATCATTCTCCTACATGCTGGTGCATGCCTGTCGAAGTAATATCTGGTCTCACACAGGCAGCATGAAGGGGGAAACTTCGACAAACAGTCTGTGCAGATCAAGAATTGCCAGTCTTGCGGCGTGGCTCGGTTAAATGTCCCCATCATTTTCCTACACTTCCGAGTCAGCATGCGAGGTTGTTCACCCGGGTTCAGGGCAAAGATTGGTTGATCTTCGAGAGCTTCGCAAGTCATGTAAGCCGCAAGGTCGCTTCTACCCTACAAGAGTTTGGGGATGCTAATATGATTTCATGAAAGGCTTGTACGTAACCTGCAATTTTGCTTTCAACAACTTCATTGAGACTGAGTCTATCCCAGATTTTTTTGGTTTCCTCGCAAATGATGCGGCAGCCTCATCATCTTCCAATGCATTTGCCGTTCATCACTTCCTGACCGAGCCCTTGTATTCTTTGTTCATGAAAAGACGGCCAGTGTTGCATCTGATGCCAAGGATGTTGTGTATGCCTACCATACATCAGCTTCTTGAATCTTTGATAAGGGTTGCAATGTGGTGTGCAAAATAGCAGCTTTTCCGCCCGTACTACCGTAGGTTTCATATATGTATTGTGATGCATCCTCAGGAGGCCAGGGTGTACTGTCTCCACAGGCGCCGCATGCAGTTCATGCACGGGTTATGATTGCACCTTCGTGCGCATGCTCTGTTCAGTATAAAACCTTGTTGATGCAAGGGAACCCATTAAACATCTTACACATTCCAACTGTTGTGACAGACCCAACTATCACAGCTCTAAATTGGGGAGTCGCTAAAATGCCTGCCGATTCATCTGTGGCTCTTGACACATCGTGTAAATGTCCCAGGGACAAAGTCGACAAAGGACCAGGGAAAAATCTGGTTGTTTGCATTGGTACGCACTTTAACTACAGTTCCAGATGCCGATGATTCAAGTTTGTAGATGGGACATCAAACAAGTATTGTGCTCAAGTAGGTCATCAGACTCGCATACCTTCTGATTTCTTGACGATCAATATCCGGACTCAGAATACCAACATCATCGAACTATATAATGAAATGATGAAGAATGACAATCAATTAATGTACTACAACAGTGGTGTAGGAACGTATGCTAAGGGCCATACACATTGGATGAAGCAGGTCGTCAGCGTCTTTGATCTAGCCTTCGCATTGTAAGTATCGTACATTTGACCTTTCACAGCTTGTGGTAATGGCAGTAAAGTAATATCAGCCAAACCATCATGGACGCCTACAGATGGCTCTCAGACCAGTACTCTGATGGCGATAAAATCTTCCTGTTTGGTAAGTTCCTTGTTCATTTTATATAGTCCACTGCACTAAAATGCGAGGCCAGGATTTTCGAGAGGTGCATACCAAGTTCGTGCATTAGCAGGCATGATCCACGAAGTATTCATCAACTTTGATCTATGGTCTATGATCTTTCTTATTCATTACTCTTCTGATAGGTAGGGCTCATATTACCTGGCAACACAGAACAGATCCCCTAGTAAGTATATTTGATGATCGTTCTTGGCTAAACAGCTGACACCAGCAGTGCCTTCGAGCTTTACTCTGCCATCAACAGTGGAAAAGATGAGGACCAGAAGCTTGCGGCAGGATTCAAATCGACATTCTCGAGACAACGCGTAGTAACACATTTTGTCGGTGTATGGTGAATGTTTTCCCTGAGTATGAGCATACCAGCATAATTGACACACCACATAGGGACACTGTTTTGTCTGTTGGTATCCGGAAGGAGAATATTTTACCGTCCACCGATACATGTGGTCACATTTGCTACTTCTGCCAGGCACTTGCACTAGACGAGCGCAGGGTGAAATTCCTACCCAAGTATGTCTACGGGGGCATAAGTGATCGATCTAAATCCAAATCAGTGCAAATTCCCGAGGATGAACATCATGTCAAGGAGGTTTGGTTTGCTGGTAGTCATTCGGATATGTATGTATCCTCTGCACCAGAAGGCTATCGTCTAACAACTTGTTCCAGTGGTGGTGTAAAAAGGGATAAGACAAACACTTCGCTTACTTTTCTAGATATGCCTTTACTATGGATGCACGAAGAAGCTTTTGAGGCGGGGCTTTCATTCAATCCTCCCAAGGTAGCTTTCAAATCTGAAGACTTGAAGCAATCCAAGATTACCAACTCGTTAACGTTGCTGTGGTGGGCACTCGAGATATTACCTACCAGACGTCTTCACTACAATAATTCCAACCAGCATACGCACTTGTGAGTGGCAACGTTGCTCCATCCACTCACACATTGAGGACTTGTAGACCGCATCTTGCAAAAGGTCGCATCATCTTACCTGGTCAAATGATTCATGCGTCAGTTCTATTTCGTCACAATTACAGATCAAAAGCAAGATTCTGGAGAAATCTCTGGCAATGGCCTGAACCGATTTACTTTCATGTTGGCAATGACGAGCGGGAGCAACCGCAGCCACCACAAGACACACCAGCACAAGCTCATCTCTGGGAAGTTCCTTTCAAACACTTGACTGCTGAAGCTCTTGTTGGTACAATCCACAAGAAACACATGCTTGATTACGTTGATCGCTTGGCCTTCATGTGTTCATTTAGTGAGATGTCAGACAATTTTGACATACTGACCTGATCCTATGGATTGCAGAACTCGGAGTTGAAGCGGTGCGGAAGGTGGATCCCACGCCACTTGACACGCTGGAAGCCATACTTGGTATACACGACAGAAGTTCTGCAAATATTCAATACGCAGAAGAAGACGATGAAGGGACCTCCCCCCAGGGATGTTCTAAGGAGACCATTGTTGAAAACTCAGAAGAACGTGATTCTAGAGTGCACCTCAGCGCAGTTGTCGCGTACTGTGGACTCAGTATGTGTTGTCTCTTTAACGCTGCCTTGACGAACTCTCAGAAACACATAGCTGAGAAGAAGGATGATATCCAGAAAGGCATACTAGACGATCTTAACATTCTCGCCATGCTCGAAGATGATGAACTAGCGAATCAAGCCAGAGCCTGTGCAGCTCTTCCGGCTCTTTGCGAAATCCCAACACTAAGAGAAAAGCTCCTTAACGAGGATCTAATTGATCGAATTGTTGAGCTCTGTCAGATGGCCGGTGAAAATCAATCAATTGCGACGAAGGCACTGTCACACCTTGCCCAACACTTTGGTTAGTTGCATTGTTCGTCTAAATAGTCTCAAACCTGCCCCCTCATATGCAATCAAAATAAAGATAAAACACTTTTCATCCTTTTCCGACGACCCACTTTTGCCAAAGAAATTTTTGATATGTTGAATAACAAATGTGAGTCTTCGCCTGTCAATCCATTCTTCTTACTTATGGTATTTCAGCTGCAACCGTTGTCGTTGCTGCGCTAAAGATCTTATCAGCTACGACCAGCGAAGGTCAGTCCCCACATAGATTCACAGATATTAAAATGTTCTGATATTGTGTTGAGGGACCTCAAACATCCTGATGGGCGTCCTCAAATCTGAAACCACGCCGAAAAGATTTGTCAGCAGGCTCAAGAAATTGATAAAGCGCCGTGATTTCTTTGTCACTCCGGCTGCGGTAGCTGCATTATGCGTTCTTTGCCAAAATGGTTCAAGTACTCTTCCCATTCCTGTGATTAATGCTGATGCCCTTCCCAACATAGACGAATTCCGTCAGGTGGCTATATAAAGTGGTGTTCTTGTCACACTGATTGACCTGCTTGAGTTCGATAAGCAAGGTTTGAGCGGTGGACTGCATGGCTTGATGAAACTTGCTGAATTCGGTTCGTATCTGAAAGCGCTCAAGAAGATCCTGCTTACCGAATAACTCATTCTATTACGCAGAGGACATACACGATAAGCTCGCGCAGGGTCCACATATCAGCAAACTAGTTGCGTTTTCGAGAGACAACGCAGTGGAAAAGAGCAAGGAGGCGACTGAGGAGCTCAAGGAACTATCAAAATACGGTACAGACTGTAAAATGTTTGTTCCAGGAAAACTAATATTTGTCTCAGTGGAACTCCACAAAAAAATCATTAATAAAGGAGGCTTGGACAGCATAGTTGATAATTTGGCGAAACCAGATCACGCATTATTTGCTGCCGATGCGCTTGTGGATTTCATGAAATATGGTGAGTGTTGCGAGGCATTTTGTTGACAATTTTGACTGGAGTCACTGGACTACATCCAGACGACGCTGAGACACAGACTCAGATACGGCGCAGTAAAGTAGGCCTGTATTTGCTGCGGATGATCGAGAAACGCATCTTTGACGGAACGATCGGTCGGGAGGGCATTGATATCCTTGAGGAGATATTCAAAAATGGTTTGGAACTTTGATATTTTTGTGCCCTATGGGTTTCTTATGAGTTGTGCAGACTACTTGCGAGGTGTTATGTTAAACCCACGTAGACTCGCTGACGGTTCTTCGAATTTCGGCGGCAAGGATACACACCAACAGCTACTCAAGAAAGCGGCAAACTACGTCCTGAAGAAAATGATAGCCAGAGGAGTCAAAAATCCAGCGAATGATGATTCTAAGTACCCTAGAAATGTTATTGGGATTTTGCACAAGATGATTGGAACCACTGGCACTCAGCTGAACTCTGTTCAGAATAGTGCTATCAAGTACCTGCTCATCATCGCTGATTACGGTTAGTTTGCATATTTCCGTTGACAATTCACACTGATCAAGATACAGATGACGCACGTCAGAAAATGATTCACGCTAAGATCATAAAACCTCTTCTGTGGTGTCTTAAAGCCCCAAGTGTGGATGATCAGGCTCTCTGTGATGTTTTTAAAAAGATTGCCCGTGACAGTGAGTGTTTCAAGATAACCCATTGCAAAACATGTTCTTAAAACCCTCAGCATCCTTACGTGATAAAATCATAGAGAATGGTGATATGCTGGCTGAAATGCTCAGTAGTCAATATCCTGTCGAGATCAACCGCATGACTGCCATGTTTATATCTTTATTGTCTGACAGTAAAAGCTTGCCTAATTCCGATATTCAAAGCTAACAATACATTCAGGAAAGATATGTGAGAAAGTTTGGGGGATGGCTCAGTATCAAAACCTGAAGAAGGATCCAAAAATTTTTTTTTTATATATATCCTTGTTTATTGTCCTGCAGGGCAGGGCCCTATGGTGGACACTACTTGCTACTTGCTACTTCGTGGTATGTACTCTTCTGTATTGTTATATCAACTCTTTACAATGGTCACGGCTGATGCGAGGACAGCGGAGCCTTCTTAAGGCTTTGCAGCGTTATTACATTGGTGTTTGTGTTTCCCTTGGTTCTATCTCATCTCTTCGTCCTCTTCTGGGGGCGATGTAGAGACTCATGCCTCTCCTTGTGCAATATTGCAGTTTTCACCAAGGAGTATACAGCACGAACTTGTAGCATCACTCTGTATGCTTCCTACAGCTATTCCTACATGAGGCGCAGCTTTCCCGCGCTGACCTGCACCAAACCGGTTCGGTGCATGGATGACTAATGCTCTCCCACGAGCCCGATACCCTAGAAATCATTATGAACAATCTTCCTTTACTTTATGGTTCAGACTGCAGTTCAGATAGTATTTTCATTTCTCAGACAGACTCAGATAGGTGTTACAAGTAACATCGGTCACGTGGCCCCCCTATCATTTTCCCTTCATCCTCGCCCTCACCATCTACTGGCTCGTCCTCCTTTACCGACTTTCCGTTGACCGGATCCTCGGGACCATTCCCGTCCCTCGCATCGCCCGCCTCTATGCACGTGCACGCACGTTCCTCCCCTGATTCGACCACCAATGTGGTCCCGCACCTATGACTCGGTCTGACTCGTGCCACCAATGTGGCTTTCCTCTTTCTGTTCCTTCTGACTGCGGATTCCCGCATGTTGTATTCTTACTGTTGGTTCGTTCCAATGTTTCTCGGTCTCATTCCACATTCGACCACCCATCACTAATCCGGCTATGTTGCCAGACGCACCTATCCCATTCTCGTTTCCCCTTTACCCTTACCTACTGTGCGGTAGCCCTGCCCTTAACCCTCTCCACTTAGTATAAGTAGTCGGTCACCCTGTACTAGATTCTCTAACTTGAATCTACTCAATCTTCCCTGGAACATACTTCCCTCTGAACGCCCCTTTGGCTTCAGTCTCTAGTATCTTTTCTTAGTTGCTCATCGCGACTAAGTCTACCTCGATCGACCTCATCGTTCGGACAAGACAGTCCTTACCTTGAGTGACTTCTAAGACATCCGTCTCTGAAGTCACGTGACACGCGCGTACTGTGATCACTGCCGACTCGCCGTCGCCAGTATCACTTGCTATACCGGATCCTTCCGGTTACGTCACGAACGTTAGCGGATGACGCCCCTCTTAGGGCTCCGCCTAACAGATCTATTTGAGTGCGTAACAATAGGCTGAATATTCTTGTATATTTAATTTTGCGGTAAATTCTGCTTAGTCAGCAATAACAATGACTCAGACTGAATCCCACACATGTCAAGTAACAGTGTAAAATAGTTCTTGCATAAGTTGCCTTGTGGGAACTTTCTTAACACTCTAAATACACAGCTCGCGTCATTTCTACGGTCAATAAAGTAACATCATAACAAGACACCAACAAATAACATAATCAGTCTGTTACTTAATATTTGTCACATGATACTAAGTTATATGACTCTAACAGTCAGGTGACCTATGACCCTAAACCAAATCATGACAAAGCAACCTTTTGAGATGACTAAAGCTTGATGACACAAATTATAAAGCACATGACTACAGTAAATAGTATTGGTACAATCTGACTAAGCCTATTCCCCTTAGAACGTGGGAAATAGTAACACAGCCACCATAATTTATCTATATAAGACCCCACTTTTTGCCAATAAAAAGATGCATATAGGGAACTTTTAAGCCCCACAAAATAAATTTGAGTGTGAAGTGTGATCAGTATCAACAACAGTGACAAGAGCTGTTAAGCAACTAACTGAGAGGTCATTGTAAGCAACATCCAGCAATACCTTTAGCTCATCGTCAACAACTGTGAAATATCTTGAGCTCACTGTGCTCAACAGTGAGCAAACTTTTTCTTTGATTTTCTACTGGTGAACCTCTAGTCTCTTTCTTTTCTTTTCTTTCTTCTTTCTCTCTTTCTTTTTTTGTTTCTTTCTTTGTTTCTTTCTTTTCATTTGTCTCTTTTTCTGTTCAGTTCATTCACGTCTCAGTGTTATTGTCTGAATTTGTTTCAAGATCTTTGTGTT